TTCCCGCTCAAGTTCAAGCGCGTCCGCTCAGCACGGCGCCTCCGTAAAGGCATTGCGAACATGCCTGCGAAATCACAAGAACCCAAGGCCCGCTCAAACGCATTCGCTCAGGTGCACACACGCCTACCTAATGATACGAGCCCCCGTCTTTTGGGAAAGCCCCTTTTCCATTGTTGGTCAAGACATTGTTCGGGGGGCCGCTGTGGGGCAGTCCTTCTTCACTCGTGCTTTTGCGCTTTTAGGTGAGTTGTTGTTGTCGTGGGTTGTGCTTTGAACCCCGCATGCAGGCTTGTCCAACAAGAATCCAGGATCAAAACAGGGCCAAGACTAAGATCTGAATTGTGTTTGGCTCCCTGCTTTGTTTTGGTTGGCCCCAAGCACAAACGGTTTGGACAATTTGCGCCTTCGGCAGGTCGCTACGCCGCAAATTCCCCCGGCTTTGTACATAGAGGCCATGCCAGGCGCCACTTTGCAGTTCTGGGCAAGCGGGAATCCTGGTTGGTTTGGGCAGTACGCCGCGAGTCTCAAGTCATTGATGTTGGAACCCTGACCTTAAGCATTCTTTAGGCCTAGCGTGCTCCGCTCAATTCCGGATTCCTCGGGGTTGGAAACATCCTCGCAGACCCTTGGAGATCTCTGGGAGTGCCGGGCATTCGGTCGGGATAAATCAAACCCGATGATGAGAATTGACCCCCTCAGCCTGTGTCGTACTCAGAGTAACTCGCGAACCTCTGGTCTCTAGGCATCCAGCGTCATTTACGCAGAAGGATGTCCCGATAGTGAAATCCCGGTCATTGGTTTTGTTTTGTTGCTGGTTCCCTGCGATACTGCATGCCTTGGTCCTTTGACTCAGTGACACGCGGCCTTTTCTCCATTTGGCCCACGCCCTTTTGTTCGGCAGGGCAGACCCGCGTCCTGCTGCTGCAAGACAGAGGCGTGGCTTCTATACTGAAATGATAAGCCCAAGAAATAGGGTCACTGAACAACTTGGTGTTATTTTGGTGTGGCCGGCAACATGTGTTGGGCCGATGTTGGCAGAGATTACGTTTGTGAGTGATGTTAAAAGGGACATGTGAAGAACCAGTCCGCTGTTGTTTTGGGGGAGCGCAGGTGCGAGGTGCAATTTTGGGGCAGGGCAACCGGAACCAAACATGTTGTGCGTGTGCGTGTTCCCAGTCATGGTTGGTTCTATCGTTTGTGGGCGAGACGCGCAGGAAATTGTTTGAAGAGGTTGCTGCTATTTGTGATGGACACGTGGCAAGACTAGGCATCTTTGTTTGCTGGATCCTTCGTTCTTGGGTATCGATAACCACGGTCTTGGCTTCCAATGGAGTACCTAACTCGCTCAATTTGGGGAGAGACACCCTTCCAACGGCATTGCCATTTCATTGCCTGAAAATACGGCGGGCCATTTCCAAAGGGAAATCTGGTTTGCAGGTTCTGACTCTCAGGCTCCTGGCCCCGATGACTGTAAAACTGGTGACCCTTTCGATGCTCCCCTTTGAAGTTTGAAGAGAAAAAGGCGGCGCAACATGACACAGTCCCAATAAGGCCCCAAACAGGTCAGGCTCTCCAAGGTTGAAATAAAGGCAACGCTCGATCAACTTGAACAAGCAACGTGCAAGTAGCCTTGGATTTAAATTCCTGTCTCAGACTATTACGGTTTTCGGTATGCCATGAGGGCCTAGATAAATTTCTTGGGGGTTTGGGGTACGTTTAATCTAAATTCAATGATTGTAGGAGCCAACTGTCAGCATTTTTTAGCCCCTTACATCAGCTAGTACCCGGTTACTCAACGGGGGGAGCATGCTGCATGCTTGGCGCTACCCTGACCCACGCTTTCTTTGCCAGGCCGTAGCATCTCCGTTCGCGAGCTGGGACTTTCTCATGGAGCCTTGCAGGACTTGCTGCGGCGGTTGGTGTCTCGTTTGGTGCGGAGGTAAGTACAGGGTGCTCAGGGTGCTCCATGCTTCACCCTTTGCGTTGTTTCAAGCATCACTTTTGGGCGGCCCTGAGGATAGGGCTCACTGGATTGCCTTTTTTTGGGTTCAAACGTTGCCTGCTGGCCCAATTCAAGGTGCGTTTCTCCTGGGTGCGGTGATATAAGGGGAAACATAGGGAATCCTGAAGGAGCAAAATGTGGTCACTGCTTTAGGGCAGTGAAGTTCCTCAACATGAAACTGCAAGGGAGGTGGCTATGTGTTACTTATGTTGCGCACGATCCTCGTGTTGGTTTCCACAGGACATCCCAAAGCGGCTTTGTGGTTTGGACAGACAGACAAGTGACTGCAGCCTCTAATAGGTCTACGCTTGAAGTTTAGGGTGACTATCATGCGTTGCGCTGGATGTTGGGTAGGAACATGAGTGTTCCAGTGAAGGAACCAACTGACGTCATGATTGAGCTCAGCATGTCGCAGCCTAGATTTCATATCCTAACTCGCTCATCTATTACTCTGGATAGGATGACGATGGAAAGGTTACGAACGAAGTGGCATTCACTCTCTCTTTACTTCTTACACTCCCTCGCTTGTTGGTGAGGTGGAAGAGGGTAGAGTAGGTGACTGGGCTTCATATCCCATCTCACCCACATTATCAACCAACCTCTGTTTCCAAGATAAAGAGTTGGGGTGATAAAGGGAGATGATAGGACAGGAAGGGAAGAGAGATGAATGAGATGACATAGGAAAGCAGGAAAGCATATTATATTTTTTATTGCTTTCCATCTCATTCCCTCTCTCCTCATCTCTTCTCTTAGCCTCTGGCCCACTCTCCTGTCTTAGATGGGAGAGTGATAGGACAGAAGTCAGAGAGAGAGAGAGAGAGAGATGAGAAGGAGAAGGGAGACAGAGAGCGGTGAGACCGAGGAATGAACCCGCTCTCATCTCCCTTCCCAACTCTTTAGCTTTTCTACAAGAGCACGTATGGCAGTGACGAACGAGAAACTCAAAAGAAATGGTCATACACTAACTACACTAACTACACCATGTTGTAAGATGGACTTGCTGCACAGCACAGGTTTCTGCTGAACAGTTTAATGTTGTGATTGGAATCCAGCAGTGCCCGTTGGATGGTTCCACTACTGGGCAAATTAAGATCATGTCCCTCCAAGGATCTCATCATGTTCACGCGTTCCCTGAGCGAGAAGACAAGTGAGCCTTTATTTTGGGAGGTGATAGGGATAGCAAGATTTTAGACGATCGATTCCTGCGAACAAAGCATGATCATAATGTCGTCTTTGGCTGTGGCCCTGGGTTCCGTGCAGGACCTAGGCGTGAGCCGCGATGGAGAGGACGCGGTGTTTTTTTTTTTTGCGGATTCTCGCGCCTCATGTGCCATGGCTTGGTTTGCGGTTGGTGCAAGTTTGGCCGGGGTTGTCGGAAGGAGTCGGAATGAGTTGATGATTCCCACTTGTGTGATGCCAGGGGAGCACCAATGTTGTGATGAAGACTTAGTCATTGGGAAGGCCTTTTTTTGGGAAGGCCTTTTTTTCAATATATCACAGAAGTTGGTAGTTCCGAATTTTCCACAACCCTTGCCTCAGGAAGCTGCGATCCAAGGTGCCAGGTTTCTGCATCAACACGCACAGTTCGCGTTGGCGCGGCCGCGAGATGCCGAGGGAAAGCCGAGGGAAAGCTGGCGTGTTTTGCCTTCGCCTTTTGGAGACGGCTCTACCCCTAGCCGCGTGAAGCTTTTGCAGGAGGCTTCTGCTCTGCTGCAACGGCGCAGCGAGTTCGCGGCCCGGAGCTGAGACACTGAGCCTCGGCTTCCGCTTGGCAACATTCCCTTTCTCAATTTGTTTGGGGGACGGTGTCTTTTGGAGAGCGCCTTTTGGGGGTTGGTTGCAGAGCTCCCACCTTGGAGACACACCCAAATGGATTCCTGCGATTGAAAGCAAACCAGACGCTCAACACTGAGAGCACAATTGTTGGTTTGCTTTTTTGTCTGGTCGATCCATGGAAGGCGAGGGCCGAAACTGTTTTGGCAGTTTGGCTAGCCAGTCAGCAGGTCAACCAATGAACCGCCTTTTCTAGAACTGGCCCTTGATGAGCAGCTTCAACCCTTTGCCTAACAAGGATGTGTTTCCCCTAAAGCATCCCACAACTGGTCAGTTTCCTTTCGGCACCCTTTTCCAAACCACCCAAATCGCAGCCCCTTTTTAGGAAGCACGTGTTTAGCAGGATTGCGTAATTTGACTTCCTGTTTAGCCTGGCAGGCTGCCGTTGACGAGAGACAAGGTAGCAGCAATCTGCCTCATTGCCCAGAAGATTGCCAGACAATTGAAAGGTGTGTCCAAACATGGTAAAAGTCCCGAAAAAGGTTGGTCCCCCCCCTCTCAACCCCACCCAAAAAGGGGTGCCCAACATCAAGATGCCCCAGCTGTTGTGATCTGAAAGCCCATACACTCGTCCAAGCCCAAGCCTCGCTTCGCCCAGACTTGGCTCGGCGGTGTTCTGAAGCCCCTCAAGGCTGGACACGGGCTGAGAAGAGAAGCCCCGATAGAAAGCTAGCATCAGCTAGCTGGAGTTGCTCTTGCTTTAGCAAGTTGGTGGCGGGGCCGGGGGGGTGGGGGGGTCCCCCAGAATTGATGTTTATTTGAAAAATCAATCTTTGTCGCCCCCCCCTCCCCCCCCCTCGGGGGCTCAACTCCTCCCTGGACTGCTGTTGCGGTCGCGTGCAGTCTGCCTTTTCGAAGAGTGTATTTTCGATTTGTGGGGCTCTTGGAGTGTGCACACGGCTTTGCACGGTTGTTGGCTCTGTGTGAAAAGCATGTTCCCAAACGGTTCGGTGCTGTTCATTTGCCGCTAGCAGACCCTGTAGAAACGTTGACGTTCCTGCAGCCTCTCATATTGGTCTAGTCCGGGACGGTCTTGGATAACAATGAGGGCACGTTCCAGGAACACATGATGGGAATGTGTGGATTTTGCGACTAGTGTCGGTCTTCTTCACGACTTGGCGGAGCAGTCGTCTGTCCTAGTTGCATGTCCAGACAGACACAAAGAACATGTCGACGTTTCTGCGGCCCCTTTTTCCGTCGCATTCGATGCCCTTGGTATTTGTCCTACTCACGACTTGCCAGGGTGATTGTTTGCCATAGCTGCAGTTTCAGCAAGGCACGAAGAACACGTCCACGTGTTTATAGCTTGCCAAAGTTCTGCTATATGTGCAGTTCCGGACGGACATGAGGGAAATGCCGACGATTCTACGGCCATTTGTTGGTTCTATTTGGCACCCTGGCATCAGCTTAGTCACGGCTCGTCAGAGCGATTTTCTGCCAAATTCGCTGTTCCGAAGAGACACCTGCAGTTCCAGCGAGAAGCGTTCACGCACTGACACACCCCACGGGGCAACATCGATTTTACTTCGGCGTTGAGTTGAAAAACGCGGAGCTTAGCTTTCGCCCAGCCCCCTCTGGCCAACTCAGCTTGGAGAGTTGATGTCGGTCCGTGTTCCTGGGTCCGCGTCAAAAACCAGGGCCCCAGCCCAAGCTCGCATGTTTGCAAAACACGAAGTACGAAGTACCTATAATAGTATGTTGAGGTCCATTTCGATTGTTCGTCTTGCTGTTTGAATTTGAGTTTCAATTTGATCTAGCATTGGCGGAGCCGAGTTTCCATATGATGTAGTATTGCTGGAACTGTATTGGTGGACTTGAGTTTTCATTTGATATAGCATTGCTGGAGCTTCCGTTTGAGATTTGGAACTGAGGTTTCATGTAGTATTGGTGGACTTGAGCTTTTATTTGATTTAGAATTTGGAACGGAGGTTTCATTTGATTTAGTATTGGTGGACTTGAGTTTCCATGGTGGGGGGGAGGGGGGAAGGCAACAAGACTCTATTGTAGGGGCTTCTGAAATCAAGTCAGTTTGGGGGTATGACGTGCTGCGCCCGTTGTGAGTTTGATGGCTGGCAGTTTTTCAATATGATTTCGGATTCTGGGAAGCAGGCTGTTTGTGTATATGTTTGTTGTTTGTGGATCTGTGTATGTTATACTGGTTTTGGTTTTTTTGGTTGCCGTGGGGGGTGCTTGTCTTCATTCTAGATCACCCCTTTGTCTTCGTTCCACGTAGATTCGCTAATCCGACTTGATTATAAATCAAAAGCAGAGAGCCTGCAGATGGTCGTGCAGCTGTGTGTCCCAAGATTCCAAAATCAGAACGATCCTCCCGACTTCAAATGAAATGCAGTTCCAACACATGCCCGTTTGCCAAGTTCGATTCAAGTTCCAGTAACGTCCAACGCATCAACCAGGCGCATCGAGCTCAAGTGGTTGGTGGTTCACTCAATTTAGCCTCAAGGCTTGTGTACATTCGCGATGGGATGTCAAAAAAGGACCTTGGAATTTCCTGAATGTCCTGGGGATCAACCCCTTTGGCTGGAAGACATGTTGTCAATGGACAAACCGTGTAAGCCCCCGCGCTTACGTCTTTGCTAGATGGATGTGCAGCTCAGGCAAATCTGTTTTGTCCAGTCTACGGATGAATGGCGGCCACACGTATCTGTTGTTTCTTTGCTCGAGTGTTTGTTTGATGTATATTCCAAACTGGTTTCGTTTGCGTGGTTTACGCCTGCTCTTGATCTGGACTTTGCAGCAGTCCATGTTGCAGTTCTTAATCAGATTCTGTTCACTCGCAGCCCACATCACTGCTCCGATGTTGTCGAATCCCTGCAGGAGAAAGAGCATATGGTGCAGGAGGCGGGAGTCGAGTCGTCAGCCCACGCTTGCCATTGGCTAACCGGCAAGTGGAAGGCAGCAGAAGAAGGCCACTGCGAAAGGAGCCCAACAAAAACAGGAGCATAGCTGTGGGATATGATATGATTGTTTCCCCATGTTCCGTGACATCGAGGTGATGAAATAGTCAAAGAGATGGTCCACTTTATGACAGGAAGGGTTCTTTCCACAGTCACGAACAGGAAAGTTGAAACACCACGCAAAGTTGGAGACGTGTGACACGCTTAGCGCGGTTCTCTTGAACTGGAGGTTCCCTAGATGCATTCAGAAAGAACAAACTCCCCTGAAGACGGCGCAATCTAGAAGGTCACAATCGCATGAGTCGCCTGTGCGCAAACGCACTCATCGTCCCATGTTCCAATGAGATTTGCAAAAGCCGACTTCGTCGCCTCTATAACCTATTTGGCAATGAACACTTGACGGTACAAGAGAGGAACTCATTGGCACTTTTTGGTGCCTTGTTCGGACGAAAGATCTATCGCATGTTGTTTGATCTGAGAGTCGATCGCATCAAACGTGGCAGCTTCCGGGGCTTCCGGTTGGCGGCAACAACATATTGCTTTCGGCTGTGCTGAACCTGTGTGGCAAGGGCAACCCCAAAGTAAGTATCCGTGTTTTGAACATGGTTCAAAACACAGTAAAGGACATGCCCACTTGTGCGATACCTTGTTTGTTTCCCAAAGCACTATGTCAAGGGGTTTTTCTGGCATCGCAGAAGTGGGCCCCATCTCTTGCTTCCCGTCCTATGCTCTGGACAGCCAATGCCGGCCATATGAAGGAGGAATGGGTCAGCGCACATACCAGAACAACGTGCATGAGCAAGCGGGCCCCAACGAGCTACGCTAGAGTGCCCCGACAAACTACTCTTGGCTGTAGTGTCTGCAACAGGGGATCTCATGTGCGAGGCCTTCAGCCATGCCCGTTCCGCCCTCCCAACCCCACGCAATGCCCGGCAACTCTGCCAGATATCTGCTTCAGGCGTACGCAGGCGACCTGTGACGTTTAGAAGCCTGGTTTGGGTGGTTCAAGGTGTAGCGATTCTGTCCAGAGAATGTTTCCGAAATTGTCGCAGATAGACCTGAACCGTGATGACTAGCTTTCAAAGAGTTGCGAGTGCGTGGATTCTTTGCCAGGTCGTCATGGGGTTGCCCGCGTGGTATGGCGACATGGCCGATGATGACAAGGACTGCCCGAACATAAATTTGGCCAGTTACAGTTGAAAGCCAGCTATGATCAGTATGTGGATTGTGGATTGTGTCTCACAATGGGGACCTCGGCCTGTGTCGGGGTGTCAAATAAGAAACCGTATCCTCCAAGCAGGGGGAATATGGTGATGCTGGTCACAACGGAGAAGAGCATTCCAGCTGGCAACCATCCGACTTTGTTTTTCTGGTGTAGATAATGTTGGCTTCTAATGGCGGTGTTGAACAATTGTTGGCGTTCTTCAAATAACTGCGCCAAAAAGCACAGGCAGTCTGATTTGGACGCATTCCTATCGCAGGCACTTGCACTTGGACTGTCTACTTGTTCCTTTGCGTTGCATGTGCTTTGTTGTTCATGGAACTAAGTGACGAGTCGCGCGACTTGGTTCAAACTGTTTGTATCTCACTAATGCATGTCTGAAATCACGATTTGCCTCTGTGTCCTTGGTGTTAAGCCTGGGTTTCCTACATTGGCCCTACATGTTCCATGCTCTCGGAGACATCCTATCGTTTAAGGCGCTTTGCATTTTCCGAAGCACACTGCCTTGTTTGCTGCAATAGAAGTGTTGTTGCTTTAGTTCCTCTTTGTGGATGGTGGTTTGCCTTGAGCTTCCCGACAGCGCCATTTGTTGGAACAGTTGGAACCCACTTGATTTGTTGTGTTTTTTTGGTTCTGTGTTGGACGGTCCTAGAAGGAAGCAGAGGTGAACCAGCCAAAAGGGGAGCTTCCAGCAGGGCCTCCCCTTGACCTGAACGCACCACAAGGCTCCGTTTGGAGGACAATGGTCCAAACCAGGGACCCCTAGTCAGGTTTCAACTGGGGTATTTTTGCTTGACCCAGATCTCCAGCGGTGTGCAAATCAATGAATGACCAAACAGGGTTGCGCCTTTGTTTCCATGGAAATCCACTGGAGGTCTGGGTTGAGAAATTTCGGGCTTGAGATTAGCCACACTCGCAAGGCATCCTTCGAGGGCCTTTGGGACTCCATGAGCCACCAGGCCGCTCTGTGACGTGCCAATGTTCCACGGCCAAAACATGTTGCCCACAAAAGGAATTTTGACCCTGTGTTCGGTGAAACTAGCTGGTCTATGATCCGCTTGAGATGAACATGGGGGATTTCAACTACAACAAACCAGGGAGACTCACCCGTCACATGGTGGGCAGCACCTTCGTAAGTCATACGAGGGTCCCATTAACCATTAAGATCGCCATCACCATTTTAGCCACATAAGGGCACAAAATGAGTAACTAGTGGACATTATTGTTGGTAGATGCTGGTAGTCCATTACCGAATTTGGTGAAAGATACTACTGCTTCTCACAACGAGTTGGAGCCGGCGTTTTCAACACGAATTGAACCGTCAGGAGGTTTGACGCCCATCCTAGGTTTGCCCCCTTATGAAGTTTGGCTATGTTCTAGAGATGGAAATTCATGAGCTTGTTGGAAACCGCACGCGAGACGTTGGGAGTTATCGTGAGGGAGGTCATTGAGATGATCGCCTTTGAATTGTCCGGATCACGGGCGCTGATGCACATCACGGATGGAAGCACGTCTTCCGTGAGCGCCGAAAGGCCGCCACCCCACCCCACGTGGGCCTGACTCAACTATCCAAATGCGGCGCCCCATTTGATCCATGCTTAGCTGTAACATTTGCTTGTAGATCCTGTGAACAGCTGCGCTTCGATTTTGCCATCAGAGGCTGACGTGGGTGCGCCACTGTGATCTTCACAGTCACGCAGTTGTTCTGCGCAGAAAACTGGTCTTGCCACGCAGATCTCACTCTTGCACCTGTGCCACGAAGCCTCCCAGTGTGCGGAGGCCTTTGTCCTAAAAGAGACGGACGTGAGAAATGAACTGACGCATCTCCCTGCGACTGCGGTTGGGCAACGTTGATTGGAGCACTAATCCAAGACCTTCGCCGTTTTTTGAGAGCGCCTGGATTTTGTTGGGGTTTGTGTTACAGTGGAACTAGAAGAAAAAACGGAAAACCCTCATTTTGAGGGTCCTCAAATTTTCCCAGGCCAAATCCACTGGAAGTCTTCCCCCAGATGGCGCATTGCCGTTACGGGAGGTGCGTGAAAGCCTGGGAGCCGATACCAGCTTTTCGATGCTGCCGCTCTCCGAGGAGAACCAGGTGGGGATTTGGCATGCGATTGTCAGCGTGTGTGAGCGTATGTGTGTGTGTGTGTTGCGTGTTTTGCATGAAGTTGATTACACCAAAAACTGTACCGCTACAGCTGGCTGGTTCCACTATTTTCCCTTCGGAGACCTCTTGGAAAGGCCATGTTAGCGAACGAACAGTTTCGGCTTTGGTTGGCCAATCAACTAAGGAACTGAGACAATTAGGACCCGCTACATTTTCTTGGTTTCATTCCACAAGCAGCCTGAATTGTGATAAGGTCAAGATCAATGGCCGCTTGGACTTGAGGCACCTGCAGAGTTTGCAGCCATTGATGCTGCATGTCAAGGGAAGTCAATTCAAGACATTCAGAAGTGCACTGTAATTGGTGCACGTGTCCAACAATGTCCAAACCTTTCAGAGATGCAAATCAGCCTCACAGGGATAGGAATTCTGGTGCTCGTATGGTGACCAAGCTTATTGCTTAGGTATGCAAGCTGCCATTTGGCCAATGCCCTAACGGTCCTCATAGGTCCTCATACAGAGGGCTGCACACTTGTTTCGGCCTTCACCATGCCCGACTGCTGTTGTTCAAGTTTCCTTTGTTTCACAGGTAGAGCCACACTTTGCCGGCTGAACTGGGTGCTGGGTCCCATTCCGTGAAAGTTGAAATTAATCATTCAAGAACGGCGCAAACCCCGGGATGGATGATGTGCCCAAAATGAAAACCCGCTGAGTGGCTGTCGTCGGTGATGTCCTGGTGAGTATGTCTCCACAGGAGAGCCCTGACACATATCCTGCATTGGAGCGTTGTTTCTTCGGCAGGCAAGGCATGAACATCGTGCCATCGTCTTTGCGGGCACCCAGGCAGGCACACGACATAAGCAGCGGGCGACGGAGGTTCCCCAGCCTAGTTTGATTGGTTTGGCTTCTAGGTCCGCCATAGCGCGTCTATAACCTACAGACTAAGACTAAGTGGGTTGAACATCCATGTAGGGCTGGTCGCGGCAGTAGATATGTTGGTTGATTGCGTTTGTGTTACTTTGGCGTCTATTCGCGCCTTGCTTAGGCGTCTTGTTGGATTATTGGTTTACAGGATTGTCGGGGGTTATCGTTGTTTGATTGTTGCATCATTCATTGTACACGCTGCACGCCCCGCTTCGGCCGGGCTCAAGAGAACCATCAGAGCAACTCGGGCTTGAGCAAATGATGCCGGGGCTGCACAGTTTGGCGGCGCAAAGTGATGCTAGGAACTTGAAGCTCGAGCGGTGGGGCAAGCCATCCAGGTGGCTTGAATGAGCTTGACTGTGGCTGAGGCGCGATGCGCTATTGTGGCTTGGGGGACGCCCTGTCCTCCTTGGACGGCTGGGCCGTAGGACCGGAGCAGGCCAGTCCCAGGACCGGCCCTGTAGACCAGAGGGCCAGCCCCAAAACGGCGCGGTCCACAAGCAGGGACTCCCAGGACCCTGGGACCGGTTGCGGGAGTCAAATTTTTGTGCGTTCGGCTGTGTCCCCCAAAGACCAAAAAATATTAGGATTCCTATCACTTCATTCCAGCTGCATCCCACGCCAGTCCCCGCTTGGACGGGAGGATTTGGGGACGCGGTTCCAGGCAGTTTTCGGCTTGGTTTGTAGGGGCAGGGGCTGTAGCGACGAAATGACCCTGCCGTGCGGGGTTGTCCTTTACCAGGCTGTTCTGATGAAGCTGCTCATGGCGGCGCAGAACGATATGTCCCAGCGCATGGCAGGGCTCGGAAGCGAGTCACATCGGACTCATCTATTCCGGTCCGCGGTGGCCTTGTTTCCCATGACTCCATGTGTCCGAAGGATGCGTCTCGAACGCATTCATAGACCGACCGGGAAGGCTCTTGGGGAGAACATGGTTGGCAATGGTAAAGGTTGGTTGAAGCTGGCTTGTTGGCAGCCATTAGGCTGCAACGTGCGAATGCGAATGTAGATCAAGAGAGAGAAGAGCTCGCTTGTTTACCCATGCAAGGCGGCAAGCTTCACACACGCCTGCAGCCAGGTGCGAACATAAGTTTATGTTAGGATTGGCCGGGTGGCAAGGCCTTTTGAGCGCGAAAGAGAAGGAAGCTTCGTGAAGACATACGAAGGCTCCCTGGCCAACATGGGGGTAGGAACATGTCGTTTGCTTGTAGGCTTTGAGTTCGTTTTCACTGCACGGTACTCACAGAGGTTTTGGCAAAACGCAAGAGGGGTTCTGGTAACGTGCAACTCCCCCAGGCCACAATATAGAAGCGATGGGGAACCGAGCGTATCAGTCTTCTTGGCAGGCTGTCACTCGCGAAAACCTTCCAACAATGGATGCGGCATGGGCAGGCAGAGGCAACGTAAGAAGAACGTGACACGTCCCTGCCCAACGCGATGAGTTCGCACGGCTGCAACAAGCAAATGGCGGAAGCCAAACATCGCGCGCGTTGCAGGCTTTCCGACCACAGTGAGACAAATCGGCGCAGGAAGAGTATCCTGGAGACGGCTTAGCCAGAGAGCGGGAGAACTGGAAGAAGAAAGAAGCCCGTCACTTCTGTTTCCTCCGACTCCAGCCGCGTCGGCCGGGCGATCCGAAATGATGGACACCCAAGCAGAGGCGGCCCTCGGAGTTCCTCGGCAAGCATTAGTTGGGAATGTAGCTCCGGCGTTCAGCCCCTTCCGCAAAGCGCCAAGCGGCTCAGGGGCAGAGCTCATTCCAGGCCAACGGCGCAAGTGCATCAGATCCGTCCAGGAAGCTTGTCTGCCCAGCAGATTGCCAGCGTTCGAAAAGAGGCCAATTACACCATGTTGGATGAGCCCGTGAACGTAGCCGTTTCCGGCGGACAGCGCAGCGCACGTGCTTTCCGGGCAGCTGAGTGTGGCCCTGTGCGTTTCTTGGAACATTGCAGGAGGCCCGAGGACGGCCAGCGCTGAGAAGCAAATTTGCTGGGAGAGCGGGGTCGCAACGTCGCACGAACGGCATTGGCTCAACAGGCCTTGGTCTTGATCGATTGTAAACAGATCCTGTGCATCCCCCTGGCGCACGCACTACGGCACCAGTAGGATGGAATTCACATCTTGCACGGACAGGTGCTGCGACACTTTGGATCTCCGCGAGGTCAAAGAGGCGCTGGTGTCCTCTGCGCTATCCCGTCTGGCAATTGTGATGATGTTGCCCACGCAGGGTAGTGGACCATGTGCACCTCCATTGTGAGCGCGAGAGGAAGCGTCAGATTCGCGAAAAGGCAGCGGAAGGCCAATCTGCAGTCAAAGAGTCAAAGAAGTTTTGATCAATGTGGTGCTGGCATGGCCTGCGCACTAGGCAGTTGCTGACAAATTTGTTGGTTTATTAGATGAAGTCGTTACTCAGCCTTTGGGTGCAATTTATTGGCTTGCCCACTGCGCGGAGTTAAAGGTTTGATAGCGGTGTGTGTGTGTGTGTTTGTTTGTCGCAAGGTTTGCTTGTTGTTTCTGCACGTTGTATTTTTGTGCGTGGTGTCGCTTTCTTTTAGGCAGTTTTGCTGGTGCCTTTGTTTGCTTGCTTGCTTGCGTGCATGTGGAACCTTTTCTGTGTTTGTTTGTGTGTTGTTTGGTTTGTTTGGTTGTTTTTGTTTTTTTGCTTGTTTGCTTGCTCGCTTGCTTGCGCGCTTATTTGTGTGTGTGTTTTTGTTTCTTTCGTTGTGTTTGTGCTGCCTTCTCAGATAACTGGTTGCGACGTTTGCAACCTATGCGGTTGTTTTGTTAGTAGCTTTGTTGTTTTTGCGTTTGTGTATGTGGGTTACATGTTTTCCTGTTGTTCTCGTGTTCGGTTTGTGCAAGTTATTGCCTTGCTTGCTTGTCTACATGTTTTTTTAGTTGCATCAAAGCCAGGCGCAGCAGCTGAAGCCGGACTTTGCTGGTCTGGTGCTGGGGGCCCAAGATGGCATCATTGCGCAAAGATCAGGGCGATCCAATCGTTGTGTCAGCTTGTCGCGTTGATCAACCATGCCGCTGCATCTAGATCCGCGTTTCGTCTGCAGCAGCAGCGTCCTGTGTTGCAGCAGGCTGGCTGTGTTGAGGGATCGTGCGATTTCATTGTAAAACAAGTTTAGGCGGGTTTGGTTTTCTTGGTTGCATTATGTTGGTTTAACCAAGGCTCGAAAACAACAACCCTGCTGTAAACTCTTGGAGTAGTTCGACTGTTTTTTGTCATTTGCCCAGAAAGGCGGAGGGCTTGATGCAACATGCATATTTTTCGGGCAAGCGCCGTCTAGTCCAGCGGGGCCGTTGTGTTTGGCGGGTGCTTCTTCAGTTCCCATGACCATTGGGCAAGCAAGGAGACGGCTTTTTGTTTTTAAGATATTCCCAAAACAACGCAAATCTGCAGGTTTCGCCAACATGTGGACACCAGCCCATATCCCGTAGTGCAAAGTCAGGACGAGAAGAGTTCATGGTTCTTTGGTTGCTGAGGCTTGGACCAGTGGATGCAGAGCTGCCTTGGACACTCAGCTGAGTTGGGCATGAAGTGGGCCAATGGCGACTGGTTTGGGCGGCTCCTACGTTCGCGGCTGCCCTGGTGACCCTGATGTGTTTCCTCAGGCATTTCAATGGACAGAAATCTTGCCGGGATAGCGCCATGTCCACGTTTCCTTGCCCGCTGCCTATTTGTTGAACTTGTTTTGGCCATTTGGCTGGATTTATTTGGCCTAATTTTTGAAGACTGATTGGCAGGCATGTGAAAAGACCAATGCTCAGAACCTTGTGTCTCTAGGCTCCGCTGCACCCGGGCAACCAAGACGGAGAGTGCGGAGAGCGCGGCTCTGCGAATCTCCTTGTCGCTGGAGGTGTGGTGGCAAATGACTTCGTCCCATCCGTCCCTCCTGGCTGTCGAATCGGGACGGCAAAAGTTGGGACAGATGTTTTAGATACCCCTCAGCCGTTTTTTCGTACTCGACACTGGCTTTCTCGCAGCCGAACGGGGAAGCTTAATGAAAAGCATCTGAGTGGCGGTACCTCAGGTCGACGCATACCCATTTGAGCGGCTGTCAAGCAATTCATCATCACTGACAGGTAAGTGAGATGATGTTGGGAAGACAAGAACATCAACATGGGGTGCAAGCCCCATTTCCTGTGCCAGTTGAAGGAAGAAGATAGGGATGCATCTAGCGGAGACTTCCTACAGAGTGAACATGATTTTGGTGAGCCTTTCAGCTGGCCCCAGAATGAAAGGAATTTTGAGGTCCATTTATGTGGCTTCCCGAGACCATTGTTGGGTATCCTGAGAAGCTTACGAATGTGGCGGGCTGACTGTTTGAAAACAGCCAGGCAAACCACGACGCCCGAAGGTTCGCGTCCCATGTTTTCTTTCACCAGGCTGAAACGCCAAGCCGCAGAGGATGATATTTTGCTTAGCACCCAGTTCTAAAGGATGTCTGCCGCCACGTCTAGGTGGTGGGATCGACACCCAAAGCACTGTGCTTTTATTCGCCCTGCGCACGCCAGGAGGGAAAGCAGCTCATCGAGGGAAGGGGCGCCAAGAGATTGGGCGCGAAAATCCTTGTTTGGCCGGACCCTACCAACCGCAACCACCGAATGTTGGAAGTGCTTAGTGAAAGCGCACGACAGTGTGCATGGTGGCAGTTTGAAATTCGGAGGGCCGCGAAGTTCAGGGCCAAGAGTGTTTGCAGTCGCGCGTGGTCATGTGATTCGACATCAAACATTGGTAGCGGGGCATTGTAAACATTCGGGGCTTTTTGTTCGAGGAAAAGGGGGGCGGCGCGGTTGCGGGTTCCCTCGGCAAGATCGTGAAGCTCGTCTATGGCGAGAACTTGGGCTCCTAGAGGCGCAGACTTGGACGTGGACTCCCTCAGCGGGCGAGCTGGGGTCGTATACTTCGTGGAGTGGGTGCAGACGAGGTTCATGGACGGAAAAGGGTGCCAGCAAGTCAACATGTGCTTCATGATCTCCGGTGAGGCCGACGGCAACGTGGAGAGCGAGCAGCTGGTGAGCTTGGTGCCAACTACAGCATTGCTGGAGGTCGGGTTGGTCTGCGGGGGCGTCGGAAGTTCAGAGACCGGGCACCCGGTTAGTCAGTTCACCAGACCAGACAAGTGGATTGGCAAGCGCTCACAAGCATATATGGTGCGTGGCAGTGAGGTCGGGAAGATGTGGAAACCCCTGTTTTACCCCAAGAAGGTTGTTGCAGCTGAGATTGAGGGGATGTTGAAGGAGGTTGAGATTGCGCCCCATACGTTTTACTCATGGTGGAGAAGGGCGCCCTACAGTCGGGATTTTTGGGTTGGAGAAGGAACTCATTCGGGCACATGCCGTGGTACGAAAACATTTCGATCCCCGGAAATGGCAGACAACCTTGACGACCCACCTGAAGGACAAGCTGTTAGGGAGCTTGGAGATAATTGCGTTGAGGAGAGGATCCCCCTGCAGCACCAAGGGCTCAATGTCGAGGTTGCGGCGGTCGCGTGGAAACATCTGCATGGGAATGTTCGTGGCTCGGCCGCCGATTCATTCGCAAAACAGCGAAGCCCAATTTGGGAGACGTTGTATGTGGTCAAGTCTCCGGACAACCGCGGGGTCATCTCACACCCCAAGTGCACATTGCTTGAGGTCAGGCATCGAGCAGCGGGAAGTGGAGAATCCCGACAAGAAGGCCACAAGTTGAAGGGGATCGCCCGGAAGCCCCTGGACGAGCTGATCAAGATGGCCGAGGCTGAGGCTGAGAGGGTGGAGCTGCCGCCGAAGCCCACCCGAGACCTCATGATCAAGCTCATCCGGGAGGTGGGGACGTTTACATGGTCACCTTTAGCAAGTTCAGGGGCGGATGTACAAGGAGGCGCCGGCACCTGGAGCGGGCAATCAAGGAGATCGTGAGGTTGGCCAATTGGGTCAAGGAGGAGACCGTCGGCGAGAAAGACGGATCCACCAGATCTCTCGGAGTTGCACGTCATGTCCTGTGATTCGTCAAGGTCTTCACCGGCGGGAGGTGCCGCCGCGGAAGTTCTTGAGAAGCGGCGCCAGATCGAGGAGGACCTCGAGGACGGGATCCTGGAGACGGAGGAGGAGAAGGCGGAGCTCGAGGTTCTGGAGACAAAGCTCGCCCTGATGAAACAGAAGCACGGGGTCAAGCCGGCCCCGCGGAAGTGAGGTTCAAGGTCGGAGGGGGGCAGGAGGCCAGGTCCAAAGCCATTGCAGGAATCCGGCAGCGCAAGATCAACAAGTCCACCAAGAAGAAGATCTTCGGGATGGCCGGGCAGTTGCGTTAGCCGGGTCGGACGTCCACCGCCGTTTGCGGACAATGTCTGCGGCATTCGCCAAGGCCAAGATTGGAGTTTTGCAGCCCCTGCGCATCAAGCACCGGTGCGACCTGAGGAAGCCAGTTGAGGTCGTACGGACGCTTATCGGCCCAGGCTGGTTTGGCTAGCCCCGCCGTGTACGTCTTGGTGCGGGTAGTCCAACATCAACTTCAGCCCTCACCAAGGTCCACCTCAAGGTGGTCAACAGCATGATGGAGGAGCATGGAGGGCATGTGGTCCTGGAGAATTTTCTCCGGAGCGCTATCTGACAGAAGCCCCTCGGCCCAGGCGTGGATGTGCGTCAGTTTGGCAAACCCCTGCGCTCGATGCACCCACCCAGATTACCAGAAGACACTATCACGGCTGTCCCCGACACCACCCACATTCGCAAGTTCAAGGCCGCGTGTTCTGCGCGGCGACTCGGAGGGCGTGGAGTACAACCGTCAAGTGCCGAGGCCTGGGTCACAGACAGGAGAGGGAGATCCCAAGCCACATTCTCCAAATCTTAAGAGGGTGGAGACACAAAGCTGATTGCCGGGCCCAGAAGCTGAGATGCAAGGCGTGTGAGAAGTGCGCGAAGCCGAGCGCTCATCGGATGGCACAAAGCCCCAGTGAGATCCTGGACTTCAACAAGGCCGTCGTTCTCGACATCTTCTGGATAGACACGGCGGAAACGACAAGCATGCCAGTTCCTCTTTGACATCGGGTCGACTTACCAGGTGATGATCCCGCTGGAGAACACCGCGACGATGGCGTTTACTCGGGGGTGGACAAGTTGGGCTGCTGCTCCTCGACAGATGCTCATCGACCTGGGCTCGGGGTTCAAGGGGACCTTCTTGGAGATGACGTCGGAAGAGAACATCGTGGCGAGGAGCTTGGCAGGACAGGCACATTGGCAGAATTCCATGGCGGAACGGCACGGCGGAGTTTGGAAAAGCATCTGCCGCCGAGGAGGTCATAACGAACCAAGACTTCGAGGGGCCATTTCTGCCGTCAACAAGGCAAGAACAACCTCAGGAACCGGAATGGCTTCTCTCCCCGCCTGTGCCAAAGCCAAGCACTTCGCTACAGCGCCAAGGTGGCCCTCTTCTCGCTTAGCAAGCACTACACCACAAATCCCGATTCCGTCCTCAAAACTATCAGCCTGGGAACATGGCCTACATCTACCGGGAGTACGGTCCGGCAACGGTGGTGGGCAGAGAGGGAAGCAACTACTGGCTGGCTGCAGGTGGACGGTGTTATTTGGTGGCGCCGGAGCACATGTGGCCAGCAGAACACGGGGGTGAGCGAGCTTCTGCAGATCAAGCTGGCCATCAAGGAGGCGCAGAAATTGCTGGACGAGGAGGCGAGCAGGTTGCAGAGGAGGTGGCAGACACGGGCGGCAAGGTCGTAAAGGAGGCCATGATCATGAAGAAGTGCATCTCAGCCAAAGGCGAAGGAGTTACCATGGAGGTTGATCCCTCCGGGCGACCGTGAGGCATTCCGTCAAGCAGAAGAGAAACAGTGGAACGAGCTGCACTTCAAGTCAAGCCACTGTCGGTTGCCGAGAGCAAGGAGTGTCCTCGAGGTTCCTCCACCGGAACAAGAACTGGATGCAGAGATGAAAGACCGGCCGGCTGTGGGATGTCTGTCTTGGTTGGCAAACAGACGAGGCCGGATTTGCAGTTTTGCATGTCCGCTGCACAGAGACACCAGAACAACCCCAGCGTCGGCAACGTCAAGGCTACCAACCAGTTGGTGGACCAGGCCAAGCAGTACAGGGAGGAGGGCATCGTCCTGCGCAAGATCAGCGAAGAGGACATGATTGTGCTCGCCTTCCGCCTAGGATGATCATGATGATCAATGGCTCGGGGGACACAAAACCGTTTCACAGCTGGCCCACCTGTCATGGTGGCAGACAGTGGAAGCGGCCAGCGGCTGCGAACATCCTGGAGTGGAAGAGCAAAGCGAGCCAGCGGGTCTGCAGGTCTACGTTTGCGGGTGAGACAATGGCATGCGTGGATGCGATCCAGAGCGGGCTCTACTTTCGGGGACTGTTGATTTCCTTGGCAACGGGGAAGCTGGTCCTGGACAAGGACGGAGGGGCTTCATGCAGTTGCACGGGGTCACGGATTGCCGGAGCCTATACGACCATATCCACCGGGAAGGAGTACCACGGGCACCAACGGAGAGGCGGCTTGGCAGGTTTGAGACAGCTGTTGGTCGGGGAGGGGAAGAAACAATGGATCCGGAAACATGGATCCAGCATAGCGGTCACGCCGGAACGACCTCTACGTCCACCACTTCACTGGGTGCCCACGGAGGAGATGCTGGCCGATGTGCTCACCAAGAAGATGGCAGTGAAAGGCTGGTGGGGACAGGTACGCAGTGGCATTTTGTCTTTAAGTGCACAACAGTGCGCATGGTAGCTTTTTGAAATTCGGAGGGCCGCGAACTTCAGGCCCAAGAGTGTTGTAACAGCATGAGGAGAAACATTAGCAGTTTGCAGTCGTGCATGGTCGTGTGACTCGACATCGAACACTTAGAAGTTATATAGATAGACTTGCACATTCCCAGCATTTGCCATCATTCACCGTGGCAAAGTTACGTGCAACATTCCGGGCTATCCGGGCTTCAAGCGCACCTCAGAGTATCCAGCCTTGGCAGCCTGCAACTGGTTGGTTTCCCCACGCTCTCCCTTCCAACAAAGCAAGTCGGGTCAGAAGTTTTGACGAGGCTACAATTCAATCCCTCGTCCTACTGGAGGACATACAGGCTTTGGATCGGCATAGGGGAACCAGAAACATGGGAAAGGTGCAGACTAGCAATCTTTCAAGCACCGATATTGAATATTGCAAGGGCTTTCTTTGGACACATCCTGTGGATTTGTGGACCGCGATCAAAAAAGGACATCGCGACAAGGTTGGGGAACACTTTCTGGCCAGATAGGGCATTGGGCTCCTTGCTCTTTGTCAGAGGCTGATTTCAACACCATTTGGCTGTCGAGGTGGGAGCGATGGCTTCTCTGCGTGGCAAGGCGCGCATTTTAAAAGCTATCCAGGCTGCATGGCAGTGATGCCACCCACGAACAGATCTATTTGGCATTTGGCGTCTCATGTACAGATGAGCTCAGTTATCAAGAGCCAGGCTGAGATGGGGCCTGTCTGATGTGTTTTTTCAACTTTGCACCTTAGCACTTGGCAGGTCAATGTGCCGAGCGGTGCAAAGAATCCTTTGCCGTCCAGGCCCCAGCGCGGGGCTATCAACCAGTTTGGAGTTTGAACGCCGGGGAACGAGATGAAGGCTTTCAACCAGTCTTCAGGCTCACCAACCGTGATGCTTTGCGTGTTGACCCTGGGGATTCACAGGCACAGCTGCAGTTGCCAGCTGGCCGTTGCTTGGCTTTGCCACAGGTGTTGATTCTTATCGTGTCACGGTCCGAACCTTTGGTCCCCTCGTGTGTGGGCACAGACAATTGTGGGGATGTTGAGCTTTTGCAGACATGCCCGCCTTGAACAAAGGGTGCTGGGAAACAATTCCTTTGAAACAAATCTACTTCTTCCAGTGTTGGGAAGACGGTTATGTCAACCCCGATTCACAACCCCTTAAGCGCCTCTTCCGTTCTTGCAGGTGGGCCTCCCTGATAACTGGGAGCTTACCTAGCCAGGGATTGTTTGGGAGCTACCGTTTCTGCTTCAGCTGAGGCCCAGACCGAGGTCATGGCCGAGCTCTGTCGCTCAGCACCAGCGCCACAGGTGGGCATGCTGCCTGAAGTTTTGCTTTGTCTACATCGAAAGACAAAAGCCAACTCTTCAAATGTGTTGTTCATACTAAATCCAAGCCAAAGAACGAGTTGATCTTCGCTATTCAGGGGGTTTTGGCTCAGATCAGTGGAGCAGTTCTCCTGGATTCCATGGGTTCGGAAATGTATAGCCAGCACAAAGTGCCGGATGCGGTCAGTTGGTCCACGTGTGAGGGGTTCCTTTTTCTGGTCAGCCGCCGCCTACATTTGAGACGATGCATGTTCGTGTGATCCTTTGCATGCTGAAGCCTGGCAATTACGATTGGGCAGGATTTGATCTTGTGGCTGACAGGATAAAAGATTCCTCCAGAAAGGAGAGTTCGCACAGAATTGCTGAATGCCCTTGCATGGCCACACTTCAAGTCTGACTCTTGAAAGTGCTTTCTGGTTTGCCTTCTGTCGTTCGAATCTGTTACACTGGCTCCGCAATTCGCCCGACTAGCTGTGACTAGCTCATCGAAAAAGCTCAACGTGTTTGACTCTGGAGGTTAGCGGTGGCATATGGATATTCACCAGAAAAAAAAACCCTCATCCAATGTCAAATTGCTGATGGAAGGCGCATGGTAGCAACGACCAGCAAGCACAAAATAGGTCACTGTTTCCAGCTGGTGACCCAAATGGTCTACGGTTTTCCCCTGAATGACCAGGTTGCTCAATTCCCTCAACATGTTGACGGTTAAACATGGTTAAACTAATATCCCCTTCTTGCAAAATTATTCTTTGGTTAGTCCAAACACTTCAAAGGCTCATAGGCTGTAGGTTCGATGGATCTGTTCGTCCAAAATGCCCTCGGCCGCGATCTCCGGAGGTGTGCGCTGTCGGAGGCCAGCTCGCGGTGGGGGGTGAGGACATTCCCTCAGGAAAGTTGCAGAACTTGAGGCTAACAATTTTGGGGCTATGTTATATGAAAGCAAGCGGGAAATGTGGAGGACATACCCATTGAAAGCATGTTGCTTCTTTGAAGGGAGGGGTTCACGGAAGAGGATGAACAATCCTTTCATTTTTTCGGATTCCCCCCAATTTTGCTCAACGCCCAAGATTGATGTGTTGTGCTTGAATTCTCTAGGAAATCATGAAAGGTAGCCCTCAGGTGGCTACCTTGATGACTTCCTTGCATTGGCAAGTCCGCTTGTTTCCTGAAAATGAGACGAAATAACTATGGAAGCTAAATGTGGAAGAATGTGCATCTGCATCTGCCATTGCATCTGCATCTGGGACATAGGGTCTCGAGAGAAATGCAAAGAACACCTTGGGAATTCCAAAAAACAATAAAGCAGCCCATGTCCTAGATCATGCCCCTCCCCCTCCCTCAGATGGGTCTGAACTTTTTGTTTGTTTTGTTTGTTTGTTTTGGAAGTCGAGAATTCCAACAAACAAACAAAATACAGCCCATGTCTTAGATCATGCCCCCCCCCCTCTGAACATTCCCGAGGTTTTTCACAGTGGTCCAAAAAATGCAAAACAACACGATATTTATATATATATTAAAAAAGAAGAAACAAAACACATCATGCCCCCGCAACGCGTCTGATCTGGTTGGGTGTCTTTTTTGGTATGTTTGCAAAGCTTGACATGTTTCACACTTGTCCGAAAAATGCAAAAACCTTGAGTTGTCCAAAGCACAAGAAATCAGCCCCTTTGGGGATTCTTCCCAGGATCTTGGACGTGGACCTAAACTGTGTGTTTGGTTTTCCCTAGGTTTTGCATTTTTGCATCTGCCCATTTTAGGCCTGTGTGCAAGAGCTTCTGGGTTGAAGTGCACTTGTGTAGTTCACGTGTAAGCCTTGGTACAGTATTAAATGTTAACTGACTTGAATTGCAAAGAACATGATGTTGGAAAGGAGTTCCTGTGTACATGTTTGTTTGAAACAATAGTTTATTATACGGACAAACTGTTATTAACTACAATGCAACATGGAATTGCTGTTTGGGTTATGTTATGTTTAGTTTCAGATAGAATGCTAACATAATTTGATAAATCTAGAAAGTATAATTCATAAGGAAACAGTTCCAAATTGTTGAATAAACAACGACAATTCCATTGGAAAGGAGTACACCATTTAATTTGATTTGGAAGAACTAGTATTAAACCTCTAATTTAAGATAGAGTGTTGCCTGATTAAACTATATATTCAGTGAGACACTGAGTAGAACTTCATAAGTATATTTAGTTGGAAAGAATTCACAGGTCCAAAATCTTGTTTTTAGCCCCAGCACTATCATGGTCCACTCAGTCAAGCCACTGTTTGCTTGTTCCCGGGTTGTTGTGGGACACTCGGGGCTCGTATGCTTCATAGTCGGGTATGCACAATTACCTCGGTCCTCCTGCCTCGGCTTAAGCACCAACACCTCAAAGACCTTGTCTCAGAACGTCCATTGTCACTGGACGTGACATGCTCAAGCTTCAGCCCCAAGCCCAGCCGTTTCACTTCCTATGTTGGATTCAAGAAGGCCTGTGGGCCACCCCCCGAGGAAAATACACAACATGGTTCTGCTAACAATGTCAAATTCACATATTTGATTATTCCTTATATTTGTTCTAGGACAAGTAATTCGGAATATTCTTTAAATATATTTTTGTAGGACAATTGTTTCAGACTACGATTTACAACGTTGTTTTTCTCGAACACATGTTTGGGAATATTATTCAGTATGATTTTCTCGGAAACAACTAAAAAACCTATATTTGGGCACACGTGTTGACGCAATCTTTGCAATGTGTCTGGCGAAACAACGGAACCAACATCAGGAATGCGCGGCAAAGCTTTGAAGCGAAAAGAGTTACTATTAAGAACACGCTGGAAAACTTTGAAACAATAAACAGAACACAAATCATACGCATTCAAGTAGATTTCTATCTGTCATACTTCCTACCGACAGTGTGGCTCAGTGTAAGGGAGTCTCGCGATTTTTCCTGGGTTTCGCGCCACATTTCACTTTGCTCGGGTAAGCGATTTGTTTGTGGTGTCCAGTGTCTCGCATGTCGAACCGTGTTGACTTTCCCTCGACTTGGACATTTGCGCATTGCCCTGTTTCGTTGGATGTGCCTCATGTTCAAGCTTCAGCCCCAAACCCAACCGCTTCAACCACAATTGCATGTCCAGCTTTCATTCTTGCCAACATGTTGGCTTATGTAATAATACCAGGGAAAGCTCTCGCAAAATTGTCTTTGTGGCTAGCGCGCCGTTTTAGCTTGAGGGTCTCGTGAGCGATGTTTGGTGATTTCCACATTCTCGCGATTACGCATTGTCCTGTAAATGTCTTGACACTGGCTTTTCGTTGCTATGTGGGTTGGTTGGATGTTCCTTGGCAATTTCTACTGTCATCACGAACCTGCACCTTTGATGTTTTCTGAATTCCAAATTATCGAGACGATAGAGCTTCCTTCAAAGTTTCGTGACTGTAAACATTTGATCATGTGTACTTGTTTGCCTTGTTCTCGTTGGATGAACCTTGACGTTTTCAAGTTTCCTCCCAACCCCACCCTGCTTCAATTCCATTTGTATCTTTCATACTTCTGCTGCAAAAAAGAAGCTAGCCTGCTGCATTTGACTTTACATTCAAAGCAGCCCATGAGTACCTAGCCTAGAACCATGTTTATTATCATGATAAGTTGTAAGATATTGCTTACGAGACCCCCAAACTGATATATGGCGCGAGAGCCAGAAGCAACAACACGTGAGTGTTCTCCTTGTATTGAGCCAAACTGTTGGTAGAACGCATGAAAGGTACAATGGAATTTAAGCATACCAGGGAGCAAAGTGGTTCAGGCTGGAGATGAAATTTGAAAAAATGCTAAGGTCCGTCCCACAACCACACAGCAAAGAATGCAAACGTCCAGTTTTTGAAAGCCATGACATTATGCAAGGCTCTCGAGTTGCTTTGCTCTCCTACCTTTTGTATCTCCTTCTGATCACGAATGGGTGACTTCACAGGAGATCACAATTTTGCCGCCTAAGGTTGGCTTGGACTGTCAGCGTGCATACGGCTCCGGTTACACTTGAAACTAGTTAAGACCCTCCAGCCTGAGGTCCATCCAATTGGCAAGCATTTCTGAACGAAGGGGGTGGTAACTAGAGCTTTTCAGAGAGTTTTTTGTCATAATCACGCACCGTTTGGCTGAGACTGCTTGGAGTTTGTGATGCGTGTTGGGTTTGGCCTGTTCTGAGGTTGGTCGGTCGTCCGGACATGCCATCCACATTGTGATATGTTCTGGTTGGCAAAGGTGTTGCAAACACTTGCAAAGCCAGCACTCCCTGACTAAATTATAAGAAACACTGAACCGAATAGTTACAGAGAACCAGAATGGAGTTGTTGTTCGAATGAAGCCAGCGCCGCGCACAGGCTAGGCTTGAGCTGCTGTTGCAGATCGCGCTTCACAATATAGTACCTAGATGATGCCTAGAATCGAAACACGCCGAAATTAACTGGTCGACGGAAGCAAGGCCCGCTGCCCTGGGAACGCCAGCGTCAGGCATGGCGCAGGCGGCAGCGCTGATCGGTCTTGCGCGATGCGTGGCCACCTTGCAGGACACTGCCAAAGGGCTTACCGAGATGACCGCCGAACTCAGAATTTATTGACCTATGCTGACCGGGTTCGGCTTTAGAGGCTTCTGAGTTGCACGTGTTGGTACATCAACCACGTACTGACTGGCGAGGTCGTCCAGGTCTGGGAAGTGAGCTGAGTGGGGCGGTTGTTTGCGTTGTGTGACCGTTCTTCCATTCACAGGCGGCGCCTTTGCAAGACCACTCTTCAAAAAGGCGGATGTCTTACTGCATATTTACTTTCGATAAGCAATGCCCACTTACGAATTCATCCGCAAAACCATCTTTACTTCATATCATGTTCAAAGTTAGCATCAACCCCGATAATTGACCAGGATGCCAATGAGAAGATGAAGGCGGCTTCGGAAGAAGAGGCTCGGTCCGCCCCGGCCCAAGTGAGTGGATTGGCTAGCAGGTTGAGTCGGTAACTCTTTGGCAGGGATAATTCAGCGGGGTCGCAACCTGGATAGAAGAAGCTTGGCGTCGGACAGGCCAAACCTAAGCGGGTGTGGTGAGAAACCCTCGTAATTATTTGGATGACTTTGGCTAGACTCCCGCAAGTGCCAGGTTTTGCTTTTGACTCACCTGTTGACGTGGCGCCATGTAGTTTCCTGGTTCAAAAGAGCCCAGGTCTTCCTTGAGTTGACTGGCCAGGTTGAACTTGTTCTCTTCCTAAGTCCGCTCTAAACCTATCTTAACTTTCAATTTGGGCCGACCCAAAACCACCTGGAATGGGAGATCCCCCGTTTTCGGCGAATGTTTGTCAGGCAAAACATGTGCTTTGACCAAGTTTCCGCGAATAAAATCAGATGGTAGTGGGTTCCCTTGCGACGTCCCACGCGTGTGAACAGCCGCAGAGTCTTAGGCAGCGGACCGGGCAGCACTGCTTCGGGCCACCGCCTTGCTGGAGGCGATCCAAGGCGCAAGCCGGGTTTGGGCGCACCTGTGGAGACACGAGCAAAAGCCTTGCGGCTATCAGCGCAGCCTTTGGTTTCGTGAAGCATCACAAGTAGGATCCGAAAAGTTTGTGCACGTGTGGGTCTGGATGAGTGTCGAAATCTAAAGTAACACCTTGCGGCTCCCAGGCCTTAGTGGGGCTTAGAGGTGCCCTGTTGGACTGGAGATGGGCGCGCAAAAAGTGAGTCAAGTCAAACCACTTGGAAACCCTTCCCTTAGCTTCTCTTCGCAGAGTGGTGTTCTTCCAAGCAATGAAGAGACCACTTTGGCCAGGCCATGTGACCCCTCCAAACCCAATGTTTCTTTGGATAGCTCCAACATGTTCATGAAGTGGTTCTGTTTGCTTGCAGCCAGGGAGATCTAAATTGCCACAACAAGCGCCACGCCCGTACACAAAAGACCTGAGCCCCTTGACCAGAGCTGATTGCATTCTAGGCACAGGCCTTTCGGCGCCGAAACGACGAGCATGCCAATTGAACAAACCCGCTTGCTGGATCATCAACTCGCCATAGAGGAGAGGTTTTCGGTCCAGTTACACAGCTAGACGCGGCTAGGCTCCACCAAACTACGGAGAATCTTGCATTCCTACCTCCCCGCAGAGAGTTCCATCCGTTCGGTCAAGAGATGATTGCCTGATTCAAGCCGCCCATCTTGGATGTCTCGCGCCAGGTCTTGTGGATGTCCCGCTGCAGGCCAGGTGCCTTACAACTCGGGCGCTTTTCCTCCGGTTTTCAGGCATTTAGACCGGGCATACCCGAGTGGGTCGATCTGCCGACCGGATCTGTGCGCCGAGGTGCTTTTTGCCCAAGACTGGGAGATCGCGGGCACCAAGTTGGCCTCTTCCTGGGTGTCGTGGCCGGCTCGAAGCCCAGCAACAGACGGCACGCTGTGGTTTGGTTTGGTTTCGCTTTGTTGGCATGCTGGTGTGTTGGCTTATTTCTTTTCTTGCTTGTTTGGATTTCCAACTTATTGCTTTGCATTGCTTTGAGCGGTGTAGTTTTGGTTGAGGTTTGGTTTTGTCGCCCGCGCGTATGTTGGGATCCTAGTGGGCGTTGTTGGTGCCATTGCTGCGTGAATGCTGAAACACTGCTAGGGGCTAGAGGGAGTCTGTTTTAGCCGAGCTTTCAAAGGAGCGGCGCGGCGGTGCAATGGGAGCGTTCCAAGCCGTGCACGCCCAAGGTGGGACACTATCTTGCACGACCACGTCCTACCCAGGCGGGTTACAGCGGAATGGAATGAATGCTGGAACTTGACAGCATCAGCATGATCGTGGTTGAGCCAAGTGGTGCTTTGTTGCCGCCAGGAGCCAGCACAGACTGATGATCCGCCTCCTACGCCACAGGCCGCCCGGCGGGGTTCTTTTTAGTTTTGTTCAACATCATTTTTCAGGCCCGTTTGCTGGGGAGATGTTTGAATGGCACACATGTTGGGCCCAAGACTTGGGAAGTAGAAGAACTCTACAATCGAAACTCGTCATTACTTGAACAATTGCGCCTCCGTTCCTGAACACAAATGCTCTCCCAACCTGTCAACATGAATCGAGCTTGAACGGAGGAAGTGTGAGCAAGCGCGCGGACGCGGAAGCTTCAGACAATCTCATTGATTTATGGATGGGAAGTCGTTCCACTAGCAAGCCTGATATGTATTGAACATGTCGTTGAAAGGTTCCCAACCACAAGTTGCAAGCCTTTGGCATTTCTCATGAGAGCAGGAAGCGAGATTGTTGTTGCCGGCCTGCCAAGGGTGAATACTTGGGCTTGGTGCCCGGGAAGGGAAGATTGGCACGTGGGAAAGCGGGCAGCGGGCAAGTGGACAAGCGGCGAGAAGCGGGTAAGTGGGTGGGCAATTGGTGGCGGGCGTGCCGAAATCATTAGAGCCCAACATCGAAGTTGCCCGTCGCCCACGTCGGCAGGCGGGCAGAGACCGCCAAAGCACATCAAACCATGATGCCATACACCCAAACGTAAACAGTTTTGGGAGACCCCGACAAAGTAGAACACTGTGTGCTCGCAGCGAGGGTTTGCATTTGATTGCCAGGGTGATGCTGCTGCCGACGGTGAGCAGGCATTGGTTTTCCAGCGTGGGCGTTGCTTTGTGCTGCGGGTGTAGCACGTGAAAGGACCAGGAGTGTGTCGGTGTGTGTAATGTGTTTATACAGACTTACGACTTATGCAGATTTTATTAGACACACAATGGCGTATTTCGGCCGATGGATGGGCAAATGTGCGACGCCAAGGGGTTCTTGCTTGAGTGCCCGCAGCTAGCTCGCTGCATTTGAAATCGCCAGGCAGAGCCAGCAGAGCCGGCAGCTGCCGAAAAGGCGCGAGGCTTAGAACAAGAAGGCTATGGGCCCTATGGGCTGGAGTTGAGACTGAACTCTGTGTGCCGAAGCCAATCGACCATTTGAGTCTTTTTGGTTCCCTTTTTGGTCCATGTTGTTGCCAAGGTCCGAGCATGTTGTCGGATGAGAGAATCTGCGCTGATCCGCCTGCCACCAACAACTAGCCCATTTGTCAAGCCATAACCTTCCTGCCTTAGGCACAAGAGGAGGCATCGCATGGTCTTGCGGACGAGGCGTTGCCAGCTCAGGGCTATTGTACCTTTGTAACAACTTCAGACTTCTATAGCCCACACATGTCGGCCTCACTTCGACCTACTTGTGGCGCCTGTTGAAGCTGAGCTTCGGGAAAGCCGGGAGGGCTCCGAATGGGTGCGATATTTCAAGGGCTGCCTTGAAAGACCATCCCACATAGAAGCGAGGAATTCATACTTGAATTCATACTCGAGCAGTGGATTTGACAATTTCCGGGCTTTCCTTCAGAAGATGATTTTGGGGCGTGTTAGAGTTGCATTGAGAAAAATGCGTCCTGACCGTCGGCGGGGTCAAGGCTTTGTCCGTGCTATTCACTCGCTTTTGAATTCCTGCCTTCGTTTTGTTCTGTTTGCCTTCCTGATAGCTATGGCATTCTATGGCTTTCACCAGGCAACCAGGATATGACGAGGTATTGAGACATTGTAGAAAGCATTATTGAAAGGCATCTAGTCTTTTGACAGCCTGGCAACAACCCCCCTGCTTAACTTCTCAGGAGGACCACAAAGCAACAGAGCCACGCGACCTGCACAGGTTTTATGGCAGCCCAAGTTCCTTGAGGTTGCAACGCAAGTGCGGGACAAGGAAAGCCCTGTAATTGTCTGTGGGTTAGCTTGCTATTTGCAAAACTTCTGGGGTGGTGTCCAGGCACATGATACATTGCAACGGCGTCCCAAAGTGAAGCAAACCATAGAGGATTCTTGAAGCCTACCAAGTAGCCCCCTGCTAGCTCGAATCATGAGTAGTTTTGGAGCATACCAAGCGCCGCACTTGGCCGAGCGTGCCACACATATTCTGCGCAGGCAGTCCCCGAGACTGGAGAGGCGAGGCATGGAGTGTCAAATCATGGGCCAAGATAATCCCAGGGTCACCAAAGAAGGAGTCAACTTGTTGCCACTGCCCGCCCCACATGTTTTCCATGGAGAAAGCTTTAAATCGATATCCTGCGAGGACATAATAGCGCGAATCATTTGTCATACTAGAGCTTTGGTGGTTTGCGGAGCAGAATACTTTCAGTGGTTACCTTGCCTATGGCTCGCCTAGACAGACCCCGTCATTCAAGGCTTCCTGGCACAGGGCGTCATTTTGCTCACTTGCCCAACGCCGACATGTTGTCCAAAACGTCAACCTTTCCTTCATGGTCAATCAAATTTTCACTCCCCGAAGGCGGAAGCAGCTGGAGCAGCTCAAGAGACCACGCAGGTGCTGCGGGCGCTTCTCTTATTGCTGGGTGTGATGTCGCACGAGTATACGTAGGTGAATACCTGTTTACATGCGTGCGTGCGCATGTGCATCTGGATTGATGTTTGCGTATAGCACAGGCCAGTTCAATTGAACACGAGTATGCGCATCTTTAATGTGGTGGTGTATGTGTATAGATGTAGAACAGTGCACGCATTTCTGTACTATATGACTGTGTATGAATGTGTCGGGTGTGTATATTATGCATGTGTGTGTGTGTGTCTTCTCTGTATATATATATATATAGTTATGTATGCAGTTTGCATAGATTCTTATATATATATATAGGCATTTGTGTGTGTGTGTACTGAAAGGTTTCTGCATTTATGCACATTGTGTTGCATATGCAAAATGAATACATACGGGGGTGCTCCGGATATGTGATTGAGCACCTGGTCATGAATACCTGACAGGTGCCAGCACAGCTGTCTCCGCCACCGCCGCCCCCGACCGACACTTCGGAAGGGTGGCTAGGCTGAAACCGTGTAGATGATTTGAGGAGCGCACTAAGTGGTAAGCAAGTTGCTTGCTTCAGGTCGCATATAGCCCAGCGACCCCATCTTACCCCGGTTCGCCCCCAGTTGAAGCCATGCTCCCGAGTTCACTCCCAGTTTACCAATTTACCTCCCCTGTTTACCTCTCGCCTATCACCCCCTTGGAATTCATTGTTACAGCCACTTAGATTTCCTGGGTTGGCTTGGTTGGTTCGATTGAGTTGAGTTGACTCAAAATTGAGTTGAGTTGATTGCTCGCTTGCTTTCTTGTTTGGTCTGTTGGCTGGCCCCCCCTCTAAAACAAGCAGGGTGTCCTCCAAGTCTACTCATTGACACAGTATGCTGCGTTTTTATTCAGGAGCCGGGAGGCCTAAGATTGCAAGGCAGGAGCTTTAGCGGGGAGCACACTCGTTGCCGGATTGATCACCAAGCGAATGATGAAACAGCCGCCAGATAAGCGGAAAGGCGCCAGCATGCTGGTGTCGCAGACTTCCACAAGCGGGCCCAAAGAACCCATTTTGTTTTTTTAGAAGTATGCTATCATCAAGCTCCTACAAATCCAAGCGGAGGGTTTGCTTTGGGAAAGCGGCTTATTCGATTTCCAGTTTGATCTTTGCGTGGATCGAGTGATTAGTTTGCTGGAGGGAGAGGAGCGACTTGAAAATGTTAAGCAGCCGCTGCTTCGTATAAAGGTAGTCAGATGCCGTCCCTCGCAGAGTGCTGTCATCCCTCACGTGCTGTTGCCCAAGCAGGCCCACAGGGACCCTAGAAAGATGGTCTGAACGATTTTGGTTGCAAAGGCAAAGCAACACCAGCCGAAACTTCGGGCGCAAGGCCATCTCTGCCTGCACATTGCGCCCTAGGTTCGCTTCCTTGCTGGGCAAGGTGCGGAGAGGCAGGACCGCCAGCTTTCGTTCCATTCTTTCGCTTCCGACTCTTTGTTGGCAAGTGGCCCCAACCTGATCTTTGGCGTTGGCATGGACCAATTTGGAACTGTCGGGCCACGCGCCGCCACAGCCCCTGGCCTCGTGATCTATGTCATCGCTCCCACTTGGAGCGGCAGAGTGCCTTTGAGCAGCTCGGGGGCCTGGGCTTGGGGCTGTGAACCACTTAAAAGCAAGCAGGAAGCCCAAACGTTGGCTTTCCTCTTGATTTGCTGAAACCAACCAAGCCCTACAAAAAAAGAGCGTCACGGGCAGCCACTACTGTATCGCAGGCTCCTGGCGGGGACACCCTTTACAGATGGCGCCAACGTTTCAATATGGGCTTCAACAAGGGGGGTCTCGTTTGCTTCCGAAAAGGAAAGCCGCCGTAATTGAATGGAAAGGTGGCAAAATATGGGACGCCCTAAGTTGGCGGGAGGATCCTAGTTTGGGACACCGTAAATACTGCAAGAAGGAAGCAGGAATTCGCTATGATCACTCCCCTGGCGGTAGCAATGCCAGAAATCAGATTCGGTGTCCTTCATAATCCGAATCCCGTGCTTTCTTTTTTTGCCCAGACTTGAGAGGAGTGCGTGACTACTCAAAAAAGTCAGCAAGCGCGAAACAAGGACACCCTCTCTAGGCGACAGCCCACGAATGTTTGAGGTTGAGAAAATGCGTCGCAGGTTTCACTTGTTTGTTTGGCCATTGCAAGGTTGGTGGTCTTGACGTTTTTCCAACCGATGTTTTCTCTGCGTGTGGCAAGTAAGCTAACAATTTCTCACAGCATTTAGGCTGGTCGGAAGGAAAATCGCCTCTCGCAGCCAACCGCACAAGGGCCTTGGGCTGAGGTGCCGACTTCGGCGCGCTGCGCGCCGCCGCGGTGCAGAGCGACGCGACGGTGGTGCTCAGTGCCGGGAGCGATGGGCCCGCGCTTCGGGCCGTGGGGCTCCGGGCAGTTTTGCGCAAGAAGACAAAGGGCCGAAAGTTGCAAACAAAATGAATCGGATACTCATGGGGAGAGAGGGTCGTGAGATATTGGGCGCGCTGAAGCCGAAAATACGAGGGATCACGGCAACGCTGACCAAGGATAGGTCGCAAAAAGACCCTACGACACAAGCATAACATATAGTGAGCGAAGCATAGTTCTTTGCGCAAGTTCACTCTGCAAGTTTCTTTGCGCAAGTTTTCTGAGCAAGTGTGTTTGAGCAAGTTTCGCTCAAGTTCTTTCTTTGTGCACATTGTTGGATCAGATTTCTCTGCGCAAGTTCTTTGCGCAAGTTTCCGGCTCAAAATTTATGCTCCAACTTGTCTACGCAAGTTCTCGATGCAAGCTTCTCTGCCCAAATTATCGATGCGTGCTCTTTGGCCGAGCTGTCAGTGCATGTTTCTCTGCGCATACAAGTGTTTTGAGCGCGTTTCTCTGCGGGGAGGGGGGGAGGGAGCCCAAATCAGCCCGTATTAAGCCCTTAATAAGGCCTTATTTAGGGCTTATTTGGGCTCCCTCCCCCTCCCCCTCCCTCTCCCCCCGCCCCCATGAAAGCTCTTTGCGCAACTATCTCTCTGCAAGTTGCTCTGCTCAAGTTTCGCGTGTGTGGTTCTCAATGCAAAGGGTCGTTCTTAATGACTCAAGAAACCCGTCCGTTGTGTGTTGTTGCTTGATGAAGCTTGTTGGTGGGTGTTGGGGCGAGGCCGAGAGGCCACCTTTGCAAGGGGTCTCATTATAATGTTCTCAGCGTCTTCACCGCCACCATCACCACCATCCTCATAATCCTCATCAGCAGCATCATCGTCACAACATCATCAAAATCATCAAGACCATCGTCATCATCGTCTTCACCATCAGGAACAGGAGCTGCTGCAGCGACATCAGCGGTTCAGCCTGCCCCGAACTGCGTTTCTGCTAGGAGCGAACAACATTACTTGCGAGGATGGACCAACAGCTAAAATCTGAAGTAAATGGTTTATGCGTGAGCGATGCGACAAAGATTCTGCTTTTCACGGTTGCAGGATCGAGCGGCTTCGCCAGTTGCTCGCTCAAGCTGAGCAAAGCTCGTAAGGATGAGGCGTTCATGAACACGTGTCCAAAACAAAGCTTTTGATTTGTTGTTTGTTGTCTTCGTTGGGTTGTGGCTGAACGCAACAAATAATTCGGCTTTAAACCCTGGCAGTGCAGCCGGTAGGTACGGGCTGATTATTTCGCTCGCAAAGAGCTACTAGACCGCTTGCAGCATGGCAGGGCGCTCGAGCTTCATGACAGACAGGATCAGGGCGCACGAGTTTGATTAAAGAAGAACCATCGGCTTGGGTTCAGGCGCGCGCCCGTGCGTTTGTCTCTATATACATGAGCCCCAAAATGGGCCTGTAGTTCGCTTTGGCTTCCCTTCAAAGCAACACAGAAAGGGATTCCCCAACACAAGACACACACCTTTTTTAGCGAATGTCGCAACGGTGAGGAGTGGTGCTGTGGTGGAGGAGAGTGACAAGGCCAGAGGGTGTGTCTTTTTTGTAGCTCGGCGCCGTTTTGGGGCTTGCTTAAACGGAATGCTGAAAAAAGCCACCCAGTTGGGGCGATTTGTGGAAGATGAGTTCGGTTTTTCCTTCACAAGTTACCAAGACAGTCCCTTCGCAAGTGGTTCGCCTTGGACCTTTGCACATCTCTGCAGGTGAGGGAGTCCAACAGCCTCCTGCGCCCACTGGCGGTGCCAGCTCCCAGGGGCGCGTAGCGACCCTTGCGGGAGTCAACACCTTGGTTTGAAGAAATCACCAAATACAGCCAGCGGGGGCTCGAAAGGAAAGGGCAGGATGTTCAGACGCAAAGGACAATAGGGATGGGTGCGGGTCTCTTGTTTGACCCTTTCAACTGCATCTTTCAGTCAAAGAGGCAAGGCCTGACGCAAGCAACCAGCCGCTTGCTGAGACGCTTTGGGTTGCGCCCCAGCGTGCCTCATGCGTTTCTTTCTTTTGAACAATGCAAAAATCGACACACATTGCTTTCTTTCGGTTTCCTCGTGGTGTCCTGTTCAACTCCGTGTAGCGCGTTTGTTTTAGTTTGTCTTCCAGGCGAAGAGCCATACCGCGCAGCATCGCTGATCCGCTCCTAAAAGCGCGTCGCCTCGAAGTGCGTCCCATGCCCGGCTCAGCGAAAGGGCCTTGGCCGACGTACTTCCCTCTTCCCCCCCTCAGGGCCTCAAGTCACTTTTAGACATCGCAAGACCGGAGCCAAGGACTTTGCAGTTCGTCGCTTCAGTCCTGCTGGCAGCAGCAAGGCGCCGTCACGCCGGATTCCCCAAATCTCAGGAGCGAAGCCGTTCGTTTGAGGTGTTCTCAATTGAAATCCAGACAAGCGGTGTTACTCGAAACATCTTACGAATGTTTGGGATTCACGTTGGTGAACGCGCGGAGGTTGAAAGCAAGCCCGCCACAGTGGACGTACACATTTGATCCTGGGCACAAAGAAGGGAGTGGCCGGATTTTCCTCTGAGGTTCCAATGCGTACTTGTGTCCCATGTCTTATCATCGGAAGGAAGCTAGCTGATCCAAAAGCAACGCTCTCTCGGCCTTTTGGGGCCACCATTGCCTCTTGTTTTTCGGGTGTGTGCTAAGAGAATGGTTCCGTTCTTTTTGCTTTACCTTAACCATCCAGCCTGTGTTCTTCGAGGATGCACCTTGGTGGGCAAATCCGAGCAAATCCACCGATTTGCGCTAGGCCGGCTCTCACGACGTCACCTTCCAGCAGCTTTTTGAGGCAAGCGCGTGAGCGGCGTGGAAAATTCCAGCGGAGTTCTGACACCAGTCATGGGAATGTGAAGGACGAGAAAGGGACCGCCAAAAGTATTTACAGGAGGCCAGGCCCAATTTGTTCGATGTTTTTGTCATTCCAAGCTTTGGAGTTGCAAGAGCGAATATGAGCAATATCGATGCAGTGCCAAACAGATGGCCCCTTGCAGGCCATGGTTCCTAACGGCAAGGAGGCTGCGCGCCAAGGCCAGCGGGGGCGGGGAGGGGGAGGGCAAGAACCTGGGCACCTTTGTGAAGAAGAAGAAGAAGAAGAAACAGACGTAGAACGCCCCTCTGAGTTGGATTTCATGTTGCTTTTGCGCGGCGTGTGAAGTAATTCTTGGCGCCAAGAACTCACCATTTCAAGCAGTCTATGGTCCGTTGAGCGACATGGGGCAACGTCGGGGCAACTCACCAGACGCCTTGTCTGCCATGGTCCTGGCCGCGATTTCCGCGTCAGGCCTTGCCGAAGGCCTCGCGAGTCTAGGCTTTCCGGGCGACTCGGCCCGGGCCTCAGGGGATGAGTGCGAATTGTAGACTCGGAGCTGAACTGTCGCGCGCAGCTAAATCATGTAAATATCAGAGCGAAGTTTGTTTGGGCGTCACCTTCAGGGTAGGGGCAGAGCGTGCTGAAGTTTAGAAGACACTCAATGATTGCCCTTTGCACCGGCCGCTTCACTACACAAAGGCAAGTGTAGCACAAACAGAGCGGGTGAGCAGCTTTCGAGATCATCGAGCTCATTTTCAGCTACGGGAGAGGGGAAGTGCGGAACTTGTGATAATGCCAAGGGAAATTTGCAGCAATTTAGAACTTTAGAACCACGCTCAGAGAAGCAAACTAGCAGGGATACCGCGGAAGCAGGGATACGAGCAGTTGTGCAGTCAGTTGAGCGCTCGCAGCCCCATCATGTTTCGGCTCTGGCCTCAACACCATTGATCAGAAGGCTCGGTATTGTTGAAACACATGTTCCTTCTCACAGTCCCTCGGGCTCCGCGACAGGTTCATGGCCAGGACTCGCTGTGACAAACTCAGCATTCTGTCTAGGGCTGGCTGTGGACGTTGTGGCATTTCTTGCGCGTGTTTTCACTTTGTCCTCCTTTTAGAAGCTCTGTCTTTCCCAATATGTCTTGCTTCCCTGGAACTATTGTCCCGGCTTCAAGCAAAGAACATGTGTTTTGTTATGGCTATCCGCCTTACTGCCCAGGCCATTCTGCTTCGACCCGATTCAGCGCCTGGAGTTCAGAGTCCTGAGTGTCCAGAGTTTCAGCCGGGCGCTTGGCCACCTGCAGCTGTCGCGCCATCTTAGTTTGACTGCTTGCCATGACGTTTCTTCAGCCATAGCGTTTGTTTGACTTGCCACGTCTGTTTGGCTTCCGATTCGTTGAGCGCCCTGTGGTGGTGTCAAGACTGGTCCGCTGGCACGTGCTAGCTCGAGCTCAGACTGAGTCCTCAGAGTCCAGAGTCCCGAGTTCGCATTCTTTTCCAGTCATGGGCAACCAGACAAGCAGAATGCTGGTCGTCAAGAAGGAGGGCACACCCATGGAGGCTTTCGGCTGCAAGGAGCTCGCCTTGGCGGCGAAGGCAGCGGGCTCCGGGGACACCCAATGGGTCATGATCTCCATCATCAACCAAGAGGAGTGCCGCCCCAGTGTGGTCGCGCTGCCCACTGGCAACTTGTCTGACAGCAAAACCTCTTTTTTTAAACTGTGTCACTTAATTTTTGTTTGAAAAGCTAATCAGACCACAGGACCTTTAATGCCCTGTAAGGCCCCTTGGCCTGGGCGGCCTGCAGCTTGGACTCAGAGGTCTTGGCCCACTGTGAGTCCGTGGAAGAGCTGGCCAAGGGTAAGCTTGAGCTGACCTTCCCGGGAGGCTTGGTGTTTCAGCTCCAGCCATGCAAGCCGGACGAGTCAAGGTCTTCGCCCTCCTCAAGCACCGAGCAGATGGGCGCGGCAGGCGAATCCGGAACTGCCCCGCCGAGCCAGCGCCCGTTTCTGCGTTTGGCAGGAAGGCCTGCTGACTCCACGGGCAGCGTGCAGGACAGCGCGCAGGACAGCGCGCAGGACAGCGCGCAAGACGCCGCCAGGCCTCCTCCAGGCGGCCACGTCGAAAACACGTTGCAGGTGCGGCGGGCCCAGGCCATGGGCAACGAGAAGCTGGCGCTGGGTGGACCGACGCTGGATGCTGCGGAGTGTGACATTGACCTCACAACAATGCCGGTCAACGAAATTGAACGGCGCTTGATGCAAGGTGCTGAGATCCCCGGGTGGTCCGGGCATGGAAACCCTCAACGTGAATTGGGTTACTTGAAGCTCTTCTTCAGCGCGCGCACAATGGCCTACCATGCTGAGACCCTTTGGCCTGCAACCGAGCCTGATGCCGAGACACGCAGGCTGGTCCAGCAGCTGTCCGAGCAGTTGGCCCTCATGTCTCGGAGATTTCAACGGCTTGTCCGAGCAGTCCAACTTCGACATGAAGGTTGTGGCAACATGGACGCGGCACATGATGAGTGGGGTAGTCCCTCACGGGCCTTTGCTTGGTCATGCTCGCATGATGAAGCACGAGCTGTACTACCACCTCTGGTCCGAGGATCAGCCGCCATTTTTGATGGCGAGGGTGCCTGGCTTGGCTTACGCGCAGTACCTTGGCAGCCGGCCTTTTTGTTGGTGGTTCCGTCTCTCGCCTTGCTTTTTCCCTCAAAGTATAGCTAGGTGAGTGTAAGCAGGACCACATCCCCAGTGCCAGTAGCAGCCTTCCTTTTGTGACGAGGTACCCGTTCTTCACGCACGCCAAAGACATTACGGAGGGGGTGAGGGAGCTCATGATGCAGACGGGTCTTTGGCGGGCACCAGCGCTGCGCATTCCAAGGACTATGGCACTTCCCTCGCAGTCAGCCGCAGACCTCAACGACTGCTTGCTCAACACGCTTTTCCCCGACAAGCAGGGCCTGCCGAAGCTGCCAGAGGGCATCCTGCTCCGAGTCCTGAGTCCAGAGGTGAAGGCTCACGCCCGCTACCAGTTGCTCGAAGGTGCTCCGCCGGCGGGAGGTGACTCGCTGTTTTTCGACAACGCGCCCAACCGCTCTTGGTACTTGCAGGGGAAGGTGCACTGGGCTTACTGCTTGCCGCTCGGATTTGAAGCAAGCTTTTTGTCCCTTGGGCTGCCCTGAGTCACAAGTGGTTCAGTTCTGACGGGCCTTGTTTCTGTTTGTGACACATGCCATGCCATCAGGACGCGGCGCGGCAGTGGCGGCCAGCTCTCCCTTGATTGGGTGAGGCGCGCGGATGTTCCAGGCCGTGACACCGAGTTTGGGGTGTTGGCGGTCTGTCCTGCGGAGGCGCCGGACTTGAACGGCTTCGGAAAGTTCCAGTATTTCAGGGGCGTCTACATCAGCGAAGGCGGCGTCCTGAAAGCTTTGTGGCTGGAGTTGGTCAACCGAGAGCACGTGCGTGGACGAGAACCCAATTATTTGCACCTCTTTGCGGCCTCGCAGGTGACCCCGGAAATGTTGAACAGTGTAGTGAACAGGGGCCCCGCCGGACAGGGCTTTGAGCAACGCAGATCCAGGGGAGGATGGGTCGTCCAGGGGCCCGCGGCCAAAGCGGGTGTGCATGGGCGGATGGGTGTGGCAGGAGCCATACAATGGTGCTGTCACCTACTACCACGTGCCCAAGGATTCGGACACCGTGTTCACGTTCAAGCAGTGGTCCCAGGATGGCGCCTCCTGGCACTGGTCCGAGGAGACAGAGCAGTACGAGGAGGCGCATGAGGCCGACAACACTTGGCACTTCACCACGGTGGCCGAGTGGTTTGACATTCGCGACTTTGGGCGCCGTGGTGGCCAGGACCAGGCCGGCCAGCCCGAAGCCGGCCAGCCCGAAGCCGGCAACCAAGACGGCCAGGGCCAAGGTGGTGCCTGGGATCAGCCTGCCGGTGGCCAGGGTTTTTCCTGCAGCAGCAGGTCCAGCCGAGTAGCGGGCAGCTGGGCTCTTTTCGGTACAAAGTATTGCTTACTTAAGCATGTCATTCACATATGAACCTCTCCAACAGTCCCTTGTTCTGAGTCCAGAGTCCAGTGTCCAGATGCACGGCTGATTGAATCGCATTGCGCCTTTGATGCACTTTGCTTTGCAGGAGGACAAAAGTGAGCCCCCTCCAGATTGCCCAGTGTTGCAAACAACTTATCAGCATTGCAGGGCATGCGCACCTTGAAGAATTTTGCCCGTGGCCCAGGCTGAAGTTCCCTTTGGCGATGCCTGGAGGCACGCGTGCGGTCATTTCCAGAATTGGGTCTGTTGTGACTTCCCTTTGCGCATCGGGCAGCTGGTCCACCTTTATTTTTCTAGGTTTGTGTCCAAATGTGCTGCAGCCCCCCTTCAAAGTCCGATTGGAAGCGCACCACAAAAGGGCGTCCTCGACAAAAACCACTAACAACAGGCCACACAGGGCTCGTCTTTGGTTGTTGCTTCGCAGGACACGGACACCATGCCATGGCCCAGGCGCCAAGAAGGCCGTGCTGTGTTGTGTGCACGCGGCCCCAAAGTGTGTAGACAACCTGCAAAGGGGGGGGGCAGCTGTTTGTCAGTTCAGGGCACCGGCCAGTGGATCAAACGCAGATCGCGCCCACATCCCACAAATCCCGCCAGGCCGGGCAATCCGAACGCGATCCGGATGCATTTCTCTGCCCAGGCTCGGCCACTGGTGCCGTCAGTGATTTGTTAAGGGTTCCCACAACGGGCTGTTTGGGTGTTCCATTTTGCTCGTCTTGCTGATGTTGCCCTCTGATTCAACTGTCCCCCAAACCGGCTTCCACACCTGTAGTTAACGGGCTGAAAAGGCAATCCCTGTGGTATGACAGCCGTTTTAAGAATCGCTGCGTGTCGCTGGGGCAGCTTTCCATCTACTTGTAATCACAACTCACCGTAACCAACTTGCGTCGCAGCTATGCCTTTTTGAGTCGCCTTCCCAAGAGCCACGGAATCCAACTAACAGAAAAAGTTGGAGGATTGAATCAGCGCGCGAAAGGGTTTGTTGACTTGTCTCCAAATAGCAAGCCCCTTGGGGAAGCACCCCGCAACAGGGCGTCCAGGGCTCGTCTTGGGCTTTTGCCTTGCAAAACACGGACACCATGGCCCGGCGCCAAGAAGTCGTGCGTTGGTTGACCCACATTCGGCCCCACAGGGAGGGGGCAGCTGATGTGTCACCTCAACAAGCCACCATGTTCTTCCCGCCGCTTGCTTGCTTGCCCAAGGATCGCGCTCGGATCGCGAAGTTCCGGAAGCTCAGCCAGGCATCACCTATAGGTTGGCCAGTGGCCAGCTTTGGATCGCACCCGGATCGCGCCCACGCCCCGCAAATTTCGCCAGGCCGAGACAAACCCGGGCACGATCCGGACGCGATCCGGAAGCATTTCTCTGCCCAGGCTGGGCCACGAGCGCTGTGTTAGGGCAGCCTAAGTTCCCACGGCGGGCTGTTCGGGTGTTCCATTTTGCTCGTCTTCCTGATGTTTGCTCCTCTTCCTGATGTTGCCCTCATAATTCAATTGTCCCCCAAACCGGCCTTCCACACCTTTAGCCAACGGACTGAAAAGGCAATCCCCGTGGTATGACAACCGGTTTAAGGTTCGCAGCGTGTCGCTGGGGCAGTTTTGTGTTCACAAGTGATGAAGGGGGCGGTTGAGAGGTGGTGAGACACTGACCGTAACCACCACCGTTCAAGACTCAAAATGAGACCCTTATGTGGACTGATTTTAAGTTTGGTTCTTGGACAAAAACACAGCGTTCCCCTTTTCGAAGCCGCCCTGACTGCAGCCTGAATTGCAAGCAGTGGTCAGCAGGGCAGGCAATACCCCCCCGGCCAAAAAATGCACGTCCTTCCTTCAGGATTGATAGGCAAGACTAAGCATTTGCATTTTGTGTGTGTTCCTGCATTTCCTTTCCAACCAGCAACAGGTAAGCTTCTTTTACTGCGGGGCTAAGTCTGGTCCAGCGAATTAGGTGGGCAGAATAGAAGAAGTGTGCTGTGACCGCTATAGAGTCCGTCAGAGAGTACAGCCCGGCCTGATGCCACAGCCCAGGAGCCGGCACACCCAGGTTCAGACAACTTATGTTCGGATCCAACAGCGTGGCATGTTGTTTTGAAAATGTACAATTCCAAACCAACCAGCCTGTTTTTGCACACGACTAAGCCACTTGACAGAGAACTTCTCAGGTTCAGAGTCCGGAGTCCAGCGTCCAAGGCAGCGCGCCCAGAAGTGCAGCCGCGCTTAAGCCCCCTGAAAGTGATTTTTGGGGGCCAAGCAAGAGGTCAAGGGCACGGCAGCTCTGCCGGATAAACAGCTGTAAACATGCAGCCTTGCTCCTTTGACTCAGGCCAGAAGGTGGGGCGGCTACCCTTGGAACACAGGCGTCTACAAGGCGGATGGTTGCCACCAGCTGCACAAGGACGCTTTAACAAGCGAGCGCGGCGCAGGCAGTGGAGAGGCCGCTGGGTGGCAGCGAAGACCATGCCCATCATGCCCCAGCCTCAGAGTCACTTTTGTGCGCAATTTGGCCAAGTGCCGCTTGAGAAAAGGGGTCTGGGCCACCCGGATGTTTTCGCTTCAGATCTCAGATTGGCGAACTGTTGTCTGACCAGATCCAACATGTTGCTCCTGGCACCGTAGCAAGCCGGGATTGCGTGAAGATGTGTCATATTTGATTTGGGGGGGGGGCGCCCTTTGAAGCGACCCCGAGAACCCACCTTTGACAAAAGCACTTTCTGCTTGTGTTCCCAAGTTTCCTCGCATCCAGCATCAGCGAATCAGCAAGTCGCCCAGGCTCGCGGAATGCCAGGAGGCCCACGCCCTTCATCAAGGCTGGAGCTTCCACGGCAGACATGATTTCGCCCTTTCCAAAAAACAGAACAAAGCGGTTCAAAGAAGGTGCTGAAACATGATTGAACTAAGGCGCTTAATACGGGATGAGCTGCGTTTCAGTCATATACCGCAGCTGATTTTCCGGCCCGGGGTACTGCCTGTATCAGCTGGTTTAACCCAAAAAGGAAACCCGATTCAGTTTGCAAGTGTTTTTTTCTACTCCCTCGCCCATTTGGCTCACAGCAAAATGGCACCGTGTCTTCAAATCTTTACAACAACAACGACAACGACAACAACAACAGGATTTGGGCCCTGGAGCACGTTTGTGTGTGTGTGCGTGTCTTTCTCTCTCTCTCTCTATGTTTGTTTGTTCTCTCTCTCTCTCTCTCTCTCTCTCTCTCTCTCTCTTTCCCTCTCTCTCACTCACTCTCTCTCTCTCTCTCTCTCTCTCTCTCTCTCTCTCTCTCTCTCTCTCTCTCTCTCTCTCTCTCTCTCTCTCTCTCTCTCTCTCTCTCTCTCTCTCTCTCTCTCTCTCTCTCTCTCTCTCTCTCTCTCTCTCTCTCTCTCTCTCTCTCTCTCTCTTCTCTCGCTGTTTAGCTATATATATGTGTGTGTGTCTGTGTATGTATGTTATGTGTCTGTGCGTCTCTCTGCGTGTCTGTCTTTATGTTTGTGTGTCTGTCTTTGTGTGTCTGTGCCTGTCTACGTCTACGTGTGTGTTTTGTTTGTGTGTGTGTCTGTCTTTGCGTGTGCCTGCGACTGTACTTGTTTGGAAATGTGGTATGCTTCAAAGTCTTGCTTATTTTGGTATGTGTGTGCGCGCGTGTCTCTATTTCTGTGCGCGCGCGCATTCCGCCGGACTGCAGGTGCTTCTCGGGCCGACGATGGGGAGCTCGGCGCGGAGTTCGGCGCCTGGTTGTCATGGGAGCAGAGTGTTGGCTTGCACTTCCCAATGTCAGCGACTGAAAGCGCAGCCAGCCTGTATCAAGTCTTTGGGAAGGAACCCAAGGAATGCGACAGGTCAAGAGTTTGTTGGGGATAATTAAGAGCCCGATTTGCAGAAACTCCTCGCATCAGCTGGGCTGACTGACCTCCCACGTGATTTTCCCAAATGCGAAGGGGTGCAAGCCAAATGAGAAGTCATTCTCTTAGGGGCAATATTTTGCCAGTTGTTCATGTAATCGCTGAGCCCCCTCCCGCATCGCTGTAGCGGGCCGATGCCCGTCACATTTGCAGTTTGGGCCGTCGCCCAAGATCTATGCGCACGTGGGGCGGGAAGACAGGTTCTTGTGGACTTCATGCGCATGTGGGGCGGGAAGACAGGTTCTTTTGACCTGGCAAGCTCATGAGAACAATGCCTCGCCAGGTGTCCACACCAACCATTTTGCAGGCGTGGCCTTCAGAGGGCCAGGTGCCCAGCAACGATCTGGCGTGAAAGCAGCGTTGCTGCAGACAATGTTTCACGTGTCAGGCTCTGTTGGTCCCGGCTATGCACTCGGAGCTTGCGCGCGCTGCCTTGTCCACATGCTGGCCTCTCCGGATCGCGCCCGGATCGCGCCCGGATCGCGCCCGGATCGCGCCTAGTCCCAAAAACCCCACCGCACGAGCCGGCCTCAGCGCTGCTTCCGTAGCCCGTGTATAAGAGGCGCCGGTTGTCGACGGTGGGCTGGGCAGCAAAGCAAAGCGTGCCGCTGCCCACCTGCATCTGGGCCCAGGTCTTTGTGTTGGCACATCCGCTGCTGATGCCCGCGGCTCAGAACCAGAGCTGAGTTGCATTGACGCACGTGACAGAGTGCGCGCTTCTGCATGTTGGCGCTCGATAGCATTTGGCCGTGACTGGGACGCAAACACAGTGTCGGCGAGCTATGACCAAGCAGCTCAACCTTCCAGGCAACCAGGCTGGATGGCTGCTTTCTTGACAGGCTTGGCTTTTGTCCTGGGATCCTTGCCACGTCTTGGCAGGTGGCCATGCCGCGCCACGGGCAGCTTGATGCTGCCGGGAACGTTGTGGCCTTCACACCACACTGCCACCCCACGGAGAAGCCGCGAGGGTTTGCGCTTCGCCTGGCCTGGGCCTTGGAAGCCTGCAGGTTTCTTGCTCTTGAGCCATTAGAAGACAGCACGCAGCGCAGGTCCCTCCAAAAAAGCAGACCGAGAACGCCCCGCGCAAGCTCAAGCTGTTGACAAACCGAGTGGTGATTGAGACATTGGGCTCCATCAGAGTCTGGCTCGCAAAACACGCATGCCGCATGCTGTCATCGCCACAAGGTGTCACGCAGAAATCCTTCCCAGGATGCTTTGGGGCGACCACAAAGGCCACCGCAGGCTACTTGAGTGAGCGTGGCTCGCATGCCAGGCCCTGAGTCACTGAGTTGCACACTTGCACGCTACTTCACTGGTGAGCATGATGGCAGGATGTCAGCAATCAGCTCCACCATTCGGAGCGTTACCAGCTGGCTTGCCGACTGAAGGGCGAGAAGCCAGGATGCTACATCTCCCCCATCATGGGGGAGTGGATGTCCGGCCCGGACGCTCAGTGAGACTATTGGCTTGGCTCACACTTGCTTGGGTTGTCACCACTTGCCCTTTTGAGCTTGTTGCAGGATTGCCGAAAAATTGGACCAACGCGGACATGGCTTTGCGCCCTGATGATCTCAGCGTGTGCCCATGGGCGCTGCCCGCGCAGCAGGCGACTTCTTTTGTCCACGTGCACATGTCTTTCGCGCATGGCTCGGCGTCAGGCAGACGGCGGGTGTCCGGACAGACGGTGGAAGGTGATCAGCCTGTTCACAGGCATTGGGGCGCTTGAGCTTGCGACCCATGAGTCTCAGCCTTGGGTCTTGATGTGCTACGCACCTACCTTTCCTGAGCTGCCTTCCCAGGGTTGCTCAGCCAGTCGCCTACGCCAGGGGCCGAGTGCCGGCTGCGTGGAGCACGCAGGTCGAACGGGACAAGCACTGCCAAGACCTCCTCCGAGCGCGGATGGGCGATGGAAGCCTATCTCGCGCGCCAATCCACGATGATGTTGTGGCATTTGCCAAGAGCACGACTTTGCAGTGCGATGGGGTGATTGCGGGCTGGCCCTGCCAAGCCCGAACCTTAGACACAGGGCTGGCAAGTCTGGCAAGTCTGAGCTGGCACAATGCTTCAGGACGTGAGCATTGCTGGAAATCAGGAAGGCCTCCAGGGCTCGCGGAGCTCTTTGGTTCGGTGTGTCTTTGAGACATTGGATCGAACAGGAGGGTGTGGGCCTGAGTTGGGGTTTCGACTGCTGCTTTGTGGCCACACAGACTTTCATCATACGGCTGGCCCCACGAGCCTGCCTAAGGTGGTTCGCGATCTTGGAGAACGTGGCAAACCTGCTGTCGGTCAAGATGCGGCCTGTCTTCCTCTTTGTGCTGCAGGTCACTGCAGCTTCAAACGCGCATTTGCGCCCTGCGCAGCTCCCTTGCTACGCGCAGGAGGCGTACCAGCGTGGTTTTCGGGTACGGTGGACCTCCGCATCCGGTCGCAGCGTTGGCGCGCACGTCAGATCCTCAGCCCAGACGGAGTGGTCAATGTCTGTTGTGTGCTGTTAGTTCTGGCATTTTTTCCGGCTTCGGGGTGGCTGTTAGTGGCCCTTGTTAGTGAGACCCTGCCCCTCAATTTGTTTCTCTTTTTGTTGTTCTGTCTCGTCATCTTTCTGTGCCTCTTTCTCCTTCTCTTTCTCTTTCTCAGAAGTTTCTTGCTCTTGCTCCTTCTCTTTCTCCTCCTGTCTTACCCTGTCTTAATGTCCTTCTTTCTTTCTCTTTTCCTTGTCTGTGCCTCCTGCGTTCTCTCTTGCACCTCTTTCTTTCTTGTCACTTTTTGATCTTGCTCTGTCCATCTTGGCTTCTCGCTATGTTGCTTTATTGCTTTGCCTCTCCAACGAGTACTTTATGATTGCATTTTTGGCGCACGCATGCGCCCCGCCTCACGACATGTCAGGTGGTCAGGGAGCGCGTCTTCATGGTCCTTTGCCGCAAGAACTTCACCTGCTTGGAGGCCACGGGGTGCTCTGAGCAGATTTGTTTGGGAGCGTTCGCGCCTGCTGCCAGGCAATGCCGCAGGCGGATGTTTGGGACTTGAGAGCGCGGCCTGGCCGCGGGTGGTTGAAGCCTTATTGCGAGTGCTCAGAGTGGCTGGAGCAGGAGCAGTCTGCAGCTGCGAAACAGCGTTTGCACCAGATCGGGAACTGCGTGATGCCACACGTTGCGCCTTGCAAGGCAGCCCTAGTTGCCGCCACCTTGACCACTGCTCATTTTGTTTTGCATGTGACTCAGTGCCAAGCTTTGCGAAGCTGGCGTTGGTTGCGGGAAAGCTGCAGCCCAACTACCGGCAGCGTTGCTGGTGGAATTTGCCCCCGGCAGCTTGCGTGCCCCCAATTCAAAATTGGCGCCCCGCTCCTGCGCCGGAACTCTTTCCTAAAGTCATGAGACTTACTCATGACTAACAGCAGCACGCAGCACAGATGTTCGGAGTCCTCAGCTTTGAAAAGGCTCACGGCGGTACGCCTTGTGCGTGTGTTGGCCACTTCATGGTCGAAAGTGCGCACCTCGTGCAACCAAGGCAGCTGGGCGGCATCGCCTACAGTAAACCAGCGAGGCGGGTTGGTCGGGCAAACCAATGGGACATGACCGGACATGGCTGCGCTGACAAGGCAGCTTTTGCGTGGCTGTATGGCGCAAATGTTCGCTGTGTGTTACTGTAGCTCTGGCTCACTGCCTTGCGCCCATTAGTCCAGAGTCCGGAGTCAGATTCCGGAGTCCAGAGTCCTGTGTGTCACATGGCTCGGAAGTCTGCGGCGCCGAGGAAGACAGCAGTGCAGAAGCAAGAGAAGCTGAAGAAGCGGGAGGTAGCCTTGCAGAAGCGCAACGATGCCATCATGGACAAGGCGCTGGAGAAGTATGCTTCTTCTGCGATGGAGACGGACAGGGCCTACATTGACTCAGCTTTGGCCGACAACCCTGGTTGGGTGCAG